GAACATAGCAACAGTAACTAACGGCGAACAGTCAATTACTCCCCCTCATGCTGTTCCAGACCTCTAAGACTTTCATTCATTCATCTTCGGAACTCAAATGAAGATCTTTTAATGAAATCTGATCAATTTCTGTCCTTCCTCTGACAACTACGCAACTACTTTGACACTTCAAAAAGTTCATAAAGAGACCGCAAAACAAATCCACATGAATTGATCGGTTCGGCTTTATGTGATGAACAGACTGAATTTAGGATTTTATTCCTACATAAACATACCAAATGGAGGTCTGTGCACCTAAGTGGAATGAGGTAGAGCAGGCTGTGAGAAAGGCAAGGGCTTAAAGAGATAGTTCACTTTGAAATTAATTATTGGTATATGTTTTAAAGGCATCCAAGATGTAGGTGTCTTTGTTTCCACAGTATTTTCAATTTTGACATTTTTCAGTCAAACCGTTGTTGTCTATCAGTCATACACTGGAGGCTAAGGGTGTCCACCAAAAAGCATGCAGAGAAGTCAAAATTAAACATGATTTAATGACTCGTAAATGTAAGTACACATTGATGGCCTAAGACACGAAACGAGCAGTTTGTGTGAGAAAACGAACAGTATTTATATCGTAATCATAGCCATGACAAAATGATCTGACGGCACGGGCGCGTCGGTCTGCGCATGCGCCGGAAGTGATCGCTTGCGCGCCTACGTCACTCTTTGTTTATACAGAGATTTCGGAAGTTTTACCATTCACTAAACATATTTAGATATACGGTAAACCGCAATGGAAGACGATTTCGGTATATGTAAATATGTTTAGTAAAAGGTAAAACTTCTGAAATCTCCGTGTAAATATTGAGTGACGTCACACGCAAGCGATCACTTCCGTCGTAACATTGAACTGATTCAGTTCGGTTCAGTTGGACATTGCACAACTGATTCAGATCACTTGGACATCACTGTGATTACACGAGATAAAAACTATATAAATACTGTTCGTTTTCTCACAAAAACCGCTCGTTTCGTGTCTTAGGCCATCAATGTGTACTTACATTTACGAGTCATTAAATCATGTTTAATTTTGACTTCTCTGTGCATGCTTTTTGGTGGACCCCCTTAGCCTCCAGTGTATGACTGATAGACAACAACGGTTTGACTGAAAAATGTCAAAATTGAAAATACTGTGGAAACAAAGACACCTACATCTTAGATGCTCTTGAGGTAAGCTAAAACATACCAAAAATTAATTTCAAAGTGAACTATCCCTTTAATGGAGTTCCGTACAGAGTGTACTAAAGTGCTTCAGGAGTTCTGCGAATTCTGTGGAAATTGATCAATTGGAATTGGAACAATGCAAGATGGGCTGCCAAGACCTTTGGTCAATGGAAGAGAGTAGGATCAGTTTCCTTATCAGGTCAACATATGATGTTCTCCCATCACCGCAGAACCTAAACCTCTGTGTAGGAGAGGTCACTCTTGTCCTTTGTGTTCATCACCTGCCACATTAAGGCACATTCTGACAGGATGTAAGGTGGCTCTTAGCCAAGGTCAGTTTACTTGGCGCCATGACCAAGTACTGCAATGTTTGCCTTTAGCATTGGAAGGCAAGCGTAACATGATCAATAAGTTTCCGCCTGTTCTAGCAAAACATTACACACAGAAGACAATATCCCTCCGCCCATGAAAAGGTGTTAACACCAATTCTCGCCCAGGACAACTGGAAGCTGCTAGGGACTTGAAAATGCTAGCTGATCTTGATCAACGGCTTATTTTTTCCACCTGAGATTGCCACCACTAACCTCTGCCCGGATATTGTTTTGCGGTCTGATCAGCACGCATTGTTCAACTGATAGAGTTAACAGTACCATGGGAGGATGCTGTAGGCATTTGAGAGGAATAAACTGCGGTATGCTCATCTGGGCACTGAAGCAGAGCAGCGAGGATGGAGAGTCCAGGTTTATCCAGTGGAAGTGGGTTGTCGAGGATTTGTGGCACACTCTACAACCCGGTTCCTCAGAGATGTTGGATTCAGTGGCCAAGAGTTGCGTCGCACAGTAAAGAACTTATCTGAAGCAGCAGAGAGGAGCAGCAACTGGCTGTGGTTGAGACCGAAAGATTCTGGCTGGCTATGTACAGGCCGCAACACTACGGTTTCGTAAAATTCTTGAAAAACTCGAAGAGTCTGTTTGGTTATTTGTGGAGTTTGCATAGTAATTGCGTTCCTGTTGCGTGAATGAGGGGTGGTGTTTGGGCAGATATTGTGTTTTGAGGTAGGTAGTAGGCCATTCGGAACCGTTGCCACTGAACCTACTTTAACCAAGACAGTGGGGCTCGACAACCTTAGTCAAACGGGTTGGCGCATATGGCTGGGTTGCGGAGAGATTGTGGTTAGCTCACATGTGAACTACAAGGAAGGAGCAACCTCAGCAGTAGGAGGGATGTAAAGGCCAGTAAGCTTGGCTGAGTTGATTGGGTAATGGAGGGGGGTGACTCTGGAACGCCAGAGTCACTGTCGAGCCCTCTTGAGGTGTCATGGGCTAGTCGAGGAAACACAAAGGATGGAAGTTGCCCACTTGAAGACCCTAGAGATGTCCCCTACTAGGCTCAATCCAGATGGGGAGATCCAATCTCCACTGGGGAGACCTCACTGTGGGGTTGCAGCTGTTGTGTGTGCTGATGCACCAAGTACACTACAGCCGTTAACACCGAACAGAAGGAGATTCACTTCACCATATGGGAAGAAGGGGAAATGGATGGAGAAGCATAGTTTACTGTAAAGCTACGTCTTAGTTTACAAATCAGCATGAAGTTTTAACATCTTCTCTTGTGTAATGGAAATCATCAACACATCAGTTCCAGAAGCTCAAGCATGTTCGCTTGACGTGCAAGAACCAACAAGGTTAATTCTCGCGTTACACGGCACATTTTGCTAGAAGGTGTATATCACACTAGATGTTTTTGCAGACATAAGGAATACTCACACAAGCAATACACCCACACAAGCAATGCACAAGTTATGTGAGGAATCAGATACATCATGGGGTGACTCAAAGTGCATCAGTACCAGCAGTAATGACCTGAAGGCTATGCAACAACCCATGAACACGGACAGAAAAGCCGATACTAATGCGAAAATGGGCTGTTTTCCCCAGGAAGGTGAAACTTTTCCTGGGATCCCATTTAATTAAACTGACACCACCCAGACGAGCACCAGAGCGTCAATCTTTCTGAACCGATTACATAGAATTATTGGCAATTAATGCGCAGGTTGTTTCCAGGCAACAATCTCTTAAGGCTCTCACCCATCAGACAGTGATAATCTGAAAAGGCCAAAGGTGGGTGAAATTATTAACATAATCAGTGTCTCATGCTAATGCATGCCGTGAGGCCAAGGTTTGATGGGTTCAGCGGCACATGATGGGTTTCAGACTCACAAGGTTCCTCAAAAATCATTTCCATTAACAGAATTTAGAAGCATGTTTATTGCCCGTCATTTTGTATATTTGTGCGATGATGCCCTCTGGTGCACACTTGTTTTTATTGCTCATTCACAACACTGAACTACTGAAAATGTAGTTTGAAAATGATTGAGGCTTGAAGGTAAAACACCAAGCAAAACAACTATTTTTAAACTCTTTGTAAGCAGATGACGGCTTTGCTTCGTCAATATTGGACTATTTAGATGACTAAAGATTATTGCATTTGGTGGCACTGTGAAAGGGATAGTTCAATGAGAAATTCTGCTACAAATAGACGATTAAGAAAAATACATATGAACTATATTTAAATTCTTCTGACGTTAGCTTGGTGTGCTGAAAACACTAATTTATGATTTGCTTCTTGATAGTTTGATAGTTCTTGATGCAAAGGAGGGGCAATGAAGATTATAATTCGCTTTCGTCTTACAAAAAGCCTTCTTATGACATTAAAACAAAATATAGCAAACAATAGTATGTAGTTCTTTTAAGGCATCTTTTGCTTTGAGTTTTAATCTTGTAGAAATCTTGAGAAATATCTATAGGAACAAGGACCTATCTAGGATGTAAGAGTGCTGCAGGTATGACGTCAAAACCTGGAAGTCTAATTCACCAATGGTTCCCTCGAGATTTTCCCATGGGGTTTTTCAATTTATCAGTAAAATAAGCCTGTGGTAAACATAAATTGACGATACTTGAACGTTTTGTTGAACAATGTAAACTGCACACTCACCCCAAGCTGTTTTATCTACTTATTAGGTTAAAAAATGCATTTTCGATATGGGTGTGTAATTTACATTGTGGAGCAAAATGTTCAAGTATGGCTAAGAAAGTTTCTTTATATAGCACATTTCATACACTATGGCAATTCAAAGTGCTTTACAAAGAGGAAATAATCACAAAATAAAAACAGGGGGAATTAAAGCAGTTATATAAGGTATTTAAGGAGATAAATAATACAGTTATAAAACTCATCTGTCTATCTTATTTTGACTAAAATTACCCATGACGGTCAGTATTCTTCTGAGGACAGTCAGTAGTGCCGTAGATTATCTGAGCCCACCAGATTAGTAATCTGTACCAATCCAGACCAGTAATCTGTACTAGTCACCACAGTGTTCCCTTGACTGTCATGAGCCAATCCCTCTTAAACTCCAGCACGGGTCATCATATCAATCAGTGCCATTGGAGTTCATTTTAGAATCAAAAGGAAGAATTGTAGTTTAGAAGTGTAGAATAGTTTAGTAGTTTTAGAATCGATCAGAGAATGCAAAAATAAAATATAGTGGTATGGTCAAGTTATGTTTACCAGAGAACTTATTTTATTTATAAACTGAAGAGAAAATAAACCATTATTTAAAAAAACCATTTGAAAATTTTGAAGGAACCAGCGGTGAATTAGTCTTCCAGGTTTTTGATGTCACCCTTGCAGCACTTTATGGCCTCACCGCCTGTTACAATATTCAACAAGCTGGTACAAACTGAACAAGGATTCAAAAAGGTTGTGTCATAATATGATAATACTGTACTCACTGTTTTTTCTTTTATTCCACGGAGCATATCCCTTCACTCCAGGTCACTTCCAGACTGCCTGTCCTGTATAAGAGGTTGCTTTGGGCAAGAAAGCATCTGCTAAATAACAAATAACTTTTTATAAAAACACATATAGAAATACAAATATTGTTCTAAACACACAAACATCATATTCACAGCATATTACACATTACACACCACTACTGTAAATTAAAGGAGTAGTTCACTTTTAAAAAAAACTTTTGCTGATAATTTACTCACCCCCATGTCATCCAAGATGTCCATGTCTTTCTTCAGTTGAAAAGAAATTAAGGTTTTTGATGAAAACATTCCAGGATTTTACTCCATATAATAGACTTCATTGTGAACCAAACAGTTCAAGGTCCAAAATTAAAGTTTCAGTGTAGCGTCAAAGGGCTTTAAGTGACACCAGACGATGAATAAAGGACCCTTTGATTCATGACTCGAAAAAAGATTTGTTCATTTTGATAAACGAGTTTGAACAGGAGAGTCACGAACGCTCATCACAGAACAGAGCAAGGCGAGCATTTGCGCTTATAAAACTTAAACTTTTTACTTATTTTTGAAACGACCGATCGTTTCGCTTGATAAGTCCCTTCGTCATCATCTGGTGTCGTTTAAAGCCCTTTGAAGCTGCACTGAAACTCTCATTTGGACCTTGAACCGTTTGGTTCCCATTGAAGTCCATTATATGGAGAAAATCCTGGAATGTTTTCATCAAAAACCTTACATTTCTTTTCGACTGAAGAAAGAAAGACATGGACATCTTGGATGACATGGGGGTAAGTAAATTTTCAGCAAAAGTGTTTTTAAAAGTGAACTACTCCTGTTTTAAATTTTTCTATTTTAATACAAATGGTTTCCATTACTAATGTCTTCAAATTTTTTTAATATTCATGAACCCAAACTTATATTTAAACCTTTAAAACAAACAGATTTTGAATCACAAAGGTTCAGTGTGGACTCACACTTTTGATCCTACCAAATATTAATTCACATAGATGGTCATTTAAAGTTAAACAGGTAAAGCATGTTACAATTCACTCACAGCACACACACCAGACCAGCACTGCCTCTAAAATCTCAGTTTCGTCACTTTATTAAATGAGTTCAATTTATTCTGACAGGCTCTCTCCATTCGTCTCTCTTTGTCTCAGGACACGATTCCCCTGGGCCGAAACGTTGAGGCAGAAAGTTCCAACAATTAACAAAAAAAGGTAATAACAGGCTAACGTTTGTACGGTGGGCTTAAGGCAGAGACAAGGGGGAGGGCAGGATTACAGAAGCAATGAAGGGGAAGAGACTTCGCTGGCTGGTCTCAATTCATTTAACAAGCCTTAAAGGGGAGGAAAATAAACTTCAAAGCCAAATACCCATTTGAATATATATATATATAAAAAAGAAAAATCACATTTGTCAAAGAGCACACATACATGTTGCTGTGGGCTTGATTCACAGATGTCAGATTAAAGAATAAACACATTCCATTGTCTTTGAGGCCTGAAGCCAGATTTGCAAAACCGCCACATTATTTCAAACAATTGATTCGCTTCAGAGAGCGTCCTTTTCATGAAAAGCAGACCGTACGAGCATGACTTCATTGCACCTTTGCAAAAAAAGTCGAGAACAAAGCATGACCCTGTTGGACGTGCACCTCAAGTTTTACTCCATTTCCTTCCCAAACCTATTGAGCTTATGAACTGACATACAGTACGCTGATAAGAGTTACTATTTCACAGAAAAGTGAAACTTTCAGCCCCAACAACAATAAATACTGTAAATGACAAACAAAATGAACCCTGACATCTTCAAACGCTAAGAGAAGACAGCCCGAGAGAGATGAAGGGAGAGAAAGACATCAATGAAAAAACACAAAAGTGGTACAGCGTTGATATTTACATCCTGCACAGGGCTTAAAAACCAAAGGATATTTACATAAGGATGGGTGGAGCAAACCTGGTCAAAGCACACCCTCTGAACAACAAAACAAGAATAAGGAAACAGAACAGGAGAATAGCATGAACATCACAGATGGGCCTCAGAACAGGGTTTTATTGAGAAGTTAACGTGTTCTCAAGAAAAGAAAAGATATCGGTCATTTTGTGGATCGATACGATTGACTGAGACCATTTAACGTTTGACGATGGAGATTTCACAAACATTGTATAGAACTGTTCTACCACAAAGGCCTTTAAATATAAGAGTAGCTTAACTGATCAAAACAGAAAGGAAACGTTCTGAAACACTGAATTATGATGCATGGTTCAGTCTCCAGGGCTAAAATGACTTTGAACGGATGAAGACCGTAATCTCACGAGCATAAATTAAAAAGCCTAAACCCAGAGCATCATTAAAAGTTAATGATAATGCCCAGGAATAGAAAGTCACTTCAGTACAACAATATGAATATGCTATTGTCTTGCATACGTCTTTCGATCATTCTTTTCCTTCTTTATGGTCAATAATAACGTTTAGCGGTTTTCCAAACTCTCTCTTCTTCGCTTCAAATAATCTACAGATGCTTTCTCAAAAGTTCCTCCAAAACCATAAATACATTTACTGGAAGGTAAAAGCAAGTTATTAAAATAACTGTATAAAACCACAACATTTAGTCCCGCCTCTTTTGCTTGAAATTTACAACAAGATACATAATTTACTGTGACTGCTTGTTCCCTGCGAAATGTATTATACCTCAGATGGGGAGATTGAGAGGGATGAGCGAGCGCTACGGCGCAACAAATCAAGGTAAAACATCCACTGTAAATGTTAATTTAAATAAATTAAGATAAAAATTAGAAAGAGGACCTGCCCCTAGCCACTGAACCAATCGCATTTGACCTCCAAAGCACGTGTGGTGTCGCGTTATTGGATGCGTGTGAGCTTTGCTACGGGCCTACGCAGCCGTTCCGGGCTCGATATTGACTACCTCTATTATCTGAAGCAAATATTAGCAGTATAATTCCATTTGTTGTTGTTTGTTGCATGTACTTGGCAGTGTGTCGGTGTGTGCGTACAGTGCGGTTCTCGGTAGACAGTCAGCAAACATCCAGACTGCCGTGCAGTCACTGGTAATTCTGAAACGCGTGACACCTGAATCAGTCTGTAAATGTGTGAATTAGAGCTATAGGGAGGCGAAGCCGTCTATGAGGTAAAGAGGGTGTAAGACTGTGTGTGTTTGTCAGAGGGAGAGATGTGCACTGTGGTGGCTCAGATGCTGTGGTGTGTATTCTTGTTTTTTGAGTCACAGCCTCAGGTGCTGTTGGTCAGAGTAGATCCAGGCTGTACAGAACCTTCAGAGCCATCTGACAGAGAAGAGAGAGGACAAAACAAAAAGAGGACTTTGAAAAAATAACATTTGTCAGCATGATCGGCATACACAAGGCTTCATACTTCACAAAATACAACCAAGTACCTTTCAAAAGCTTGGGGGGTCAGTAACTTTCTATTCAGGAAAGAATCCCAGGTTTCCACAAAAATTAAGCAGCACAACTGTTTTCGACATTGATAATAATAAAAAAAAAATTTATTTCTTGAGCACCAATTAGAATTATTTCTGAATGATCTTGTGATTGAGATATTGTTGCCTCGGCAAGCATAAGAGACTCCTTAAAAAAATAATATATATCTTACCAACCCCAAAACTTTTGAATGATAGTGTAACAAAGTGGTTCCAAAACTTTTTCTGCCAGGCCCAATTTTGTACAGTATTTTTAAAAATAATATTATAAATATTAAAATAATAAATAATTTCAAGCCCCACACCAACATTCACCCACATAAAGACACTCTCAGGCATAACCCTGTTTGATTTGAAATGTAAAAAAAAAAAAGTGACGTGTATCTGAGTATTGTGTCCCTTTGTGTTTTGTGTATTCACCCATCCAAGTGCACACACAGCATTGAATACAGTGCCGAAGTTACAACGTCACTCTGTAGGCCAAAACGCGGAAGTGAGTTAACATTTTAGCACTCTGGTTCCCTCGCTCTAAAGCCTATGGGATTTATGAACGGGTTTTTGCTAAATCGCCTGAAATAAAGTCTGAGGTGAACAAAGCCTCTAAATATTTTCACGTTTTGATCTATGCTTGTGGTTTTTTAAACTTTATTGTGTCTGATTGTGTTTTTTAAAATCTTTATACAGGCTTCAAAATGTATAAATTTTGGATTAACTTGTAAAGATTATCTTGATAGACAAAACGTGTAAGGGTCACAACTCTTTGTTAAACACAGATCTTATTTTTTGCGATTTTCCAAAAGTCTTTGGGGAAAATGCATTGCTTTTCGTTTTCGACAGAGGGAACCCATGTGACGTCATCACTTCGGCACTCTATATTTAGCACACACACTCCCAGAGCAGTGGGCAGCCATTTTTTCTGCAGCACCAGAGAGCGATTGGGGGTTAGGTGCCTTGCTCAGTTGTGAGTTATAAGAGTGGAAGAGAGCACTGTTCATTCACTCCCCACACCTACATTTCCTGCCAGTACTGAGTCTCGAACCCGTGACCTTTGGTTTACAAGTCCGACTCTCTAATCATTGGGCCACAACTGCCCCGAATCATCAAACCACAACTGAAACATAGTAATTAAAACAATAATACAAGTTCTCAACTGCAATGGGCTTCTCATTGTGTTCATGATGTGAAATCTCTAAGCATCTTAACTTGCACGGCTTCATACTGTCACAACCCTCTACAATGCGGGTAAATCACTTGCATATGATTAGCCATTGACTAATAAATTCTTAACACACTCTGGCAAGTAAAATCGAAATATAGCATAGATATATTTTCACTTGCTGAACACTGATTGAGCACTTGAGAGTTGACAATGTGATTAATATTCATGAACCCAGCAGCTCATCAACCCTTAGCGTGTTGTATATTGTTATTAGTAGTAGTGTTATTATATTAAAAATAATTACTATTATGTATTTTTAGTTAATTCACTCACTGAATGACCAACAATATCTTAAGCCCCACCACCAGTCCTAAATTGAATTAAAATGACAAACATGCATTCATACATGGTTACCAAGTTTTAGTTCTAATTACAGTTCTATCATTAAACAGTGATCATCGTATTATCATGCTTGATTGGCTGATGTTAAGCGTGTACATTCTGATTTGGTGGAAAAGTTGTCATTTTGTGCCAGGATGCTCTTGGAGTATATCAGAAATAGAAAGGGGGATTGGTTTACTGATGGTAATTTGTTGTCACGTTGAGCCACCCTACATCCAGTGTAGACAGCATCACTGATTATAATGGGTTCTCTATTCGCTTTAAAACGTCATGGTTAATTAATTGTAAAGGCTCCGCTATGCTGAGCGTATCTGTTGCACAGAATTTAACTGTTGCAACTTTCATAAAATGGGGAATTATTATTTTTTTTTTTAAATTTTCTTAATACATTTTGACAAGGTCTCTAATGTAGTCCTCCCAAGACCTCCAGTCAGTGAACTTTTAATGTTACATATGTAAGGTAGTTGATCAAAAGAGCCTTTCACACAGAGGTAAAGCAGCCTTTGACTTCATTTATTTTCTTTAAAAGGGAAATACATGGCTAATATATGTAGCTTATATTTAATTCCAAAGAGAAAATGACTTGATTTATTATCCCTGTTATAGTATTATTTATTGTTAGATATTTTTTTCACCATGTATCCAAGTTCTCTACCTCAGGTCCAAATGAAATGTAGAAAGAATGCACAAACTGAAAACACTAAGTAATTCTGTGATCTATTTCCATTTGTTATTTTCAAAAGGGAAATACTGACGTGGATTTACAGAGCAGAGGTCACCTTTCTTTAATTCCAAAGGGAGAGATGGACTTTTGTTTGTTTTTATTATAATTAAATTTTTGTTATTTCTGTTTTAAAAGGCAGCAATAAATAACACTGAAAATCTAGAGTGTTTGTGTGATTTTATAATGTTGTGAAATTAATTAATGCATAATAATCATGCAACCATGCATGATTATTCCTCAGATAGATTATATTCGTACCAAAAAAAAAAAAATTGTGGCCTTGGCGCCCCCTTTTTATAACTCTGTGACCCCCAGTTTGGGAACCACTGGTGTTACAGGAGTTAAATGCGCCGTGAAGGCATTAATACATCTGGAAACTAATTTCAGAAGAAAATTGTCCATGAAAGATAATGAAAGAAAGCATTTTCCTCATTAGACAAAACGCACTGATATATCATGCACAATAAAAACAACAGGAAGACTTAATTAACATAAAATGTTGTCCCAATTAAATGCTTAACCCCGTTCACTCCCAGACCATCACTAAAAAGAACAACAGCATTACCGTTGGAGGATGCTACGCTTTGTGCACGGGCATGAGGTGGAATGAGAGTGGAATTGAGCTGGGGCTGAATCATCAGCTCTGAAATAAAGAGAAACACACTCTGTTGACATCTCTAAGAGGAACAAACTACTAAGAAAACATATCAAATGCTCTTTTAGGAACAGAAACGATTAACACACTATTCCATAAAATGGGGAAGCACTGTTTCACTAAGCAATACCGAAGAAAACCAAATCCAAGAAAAGCAATAGGATAATTTTGTAGGAGCTGAGCAAAGTGGAGCTAGTCTCTTCTAAATCAATTCTGTAGCGTTTGATTTTTTTCCCCTGAAGTCCAATTATGTTAGTCAAGGTTTCTTGCATCAAACTTAGTTGTAATTTAGCTTTGCATGACCATTTGCTGCCCGCTTTCTAACCCTTAGAATTAAAGGAATGGTTCATCCATAAATGAAAATTCTGCCATAATTTACACACACTCATGTCGTTCCAAACCTGTATTAATTTATTTCTTCTGTGGATCACAAAAAGAGATTTGTACTGGGCGCTCTTGTCCATGCAATTAATTTCCATGGGAAATTAAGCTTTCAAGCTTCAAAAAGGCCGTAACAATATCAAAGTAGTCTACATGATTAAGTCTGAAGTCTTCTGGTCATACGATACATTGTTGTGTGAGGGAAAGACTTCATTTAAATCATCATTTACTGATAAGCTTCTTCAGCACACATCATGCACACAAACAAGGTGGGAAGTAAATAAATAATGACAGAGAACTCCTCCTTTGCTTTTTAAAACACTACCATTCAAAAGTTTGGGGTCAGTAGAATTGTATGATGTTTTTGAGATAATTCTCTTATGCTCACCAATGCTGCATTAGTTTGAACATGATATGTGGATTGTGTTATTTATACTGCCTTTCATTAGAATGGATCAAAATGCTTTAAAGTAAACAGATTTTTAACGTGGCTTATTTTAATAAATGCTCTGGATTCACTGTTGTGATTTCTGATGTCTGCATTAAAGGGATAGTTTAATTTTTGATGTTTTAGCTAACCTCAAGGGCATCCAAGATGTAGGTGTCTTTGTTTCAATAACAGTATCTTCAATTTTGATATTTTTAGGTCAAACCGTCTATTAGTCATATAATGGAGGTCTATGGTCACCACCTCAAAGAGCATGCACAGAGAAGTCCAAATTAAACATGATTTAATGACTCGTAAATGTAAGTACACATTGATGGCCTAAGACACGAAACGAGCGGTTTGTGTGAGAAAACGAACAGTACTTATATGGTTTTTACCTCTTGTAATCACAGCCACGTCCAAGTACTCTGAGGGCGAAGGCGCTTCTCTCCGCGCAAGCGCCGGAAGTGATCTCTTGTGAGCGTACGTCACTCATTGTTTACAGAGATTTCAGAAGTGTTACCCTTCACTGTGAAGATCTAAAGATATTTAGATATACAGGAAATTGCAATGGAAGACGATTTCCATACATCAACACACAACGTTGATTTTTTTTTTTCGCGCGAGAGCTTTCAGATCACTTGGACGTGGCTGTGGTTACAAGAGGTAAAAACGATATTAAAACTGTTTGTTTTCTCACAAAAACCGCTCGTTTCGTGTCTTAGGCCATCAATGTGTACTTAAATTTATGAGTCATTAAATCATGTTTAATCTGGACTTCTCTGTGCATGCTCTTTGAGGTGGTGACCATAGACCTCCATTATAAGACTGACAGACAAGAACGGTTTAACCTAAAAATATCAAAATTGAAACTACTGTGGAAACAAAGACACCTACATCTTGGATGCCCTTGAGGTAAGCTAAAACATACCAAAAATTCATTTCAAAGTGAACTATCCCTTTAAGTGATTCTCACAGGTGGAATTACAGAAAATGCTGATTAAATACCCTTGTTTGAGCCTCAGGCTAAAACTGATACTAGTCTTATGGAAATGTGTTTTGAGATGCATTACTTCAATGACATCAATGCAATCAGTGAGAACTTTGATCCAAAGTATACGCATGAAAGGCTCATGTGACTCACCTGTCATGGTGAAGTTGAAAAGCGGAGGCAGCTCTCGACCGCTGGGCAGACGGGTGCCAGGTTGGCGCAGCTCATCAAAGAAGGTGTGAGCGCAAGCCTGAAGAGGGGATAGTCGCGTCACTGGTGTGTACTCTAACAGCCGAGAGCACAGGGCTATTGCCTCAGGAGGAGTTCTTGGTTTAAACACCTGCAGAGGAATTATATTAAAAAAAGAAATGAGAAACGAGAGGAAACAACACAAGAGTTAAAAGACTGCTCATTGACATTAGCTACTCTCTGGAAAAATGTTTCTCTCAAATCCGCTAGTAAAAAATTACGTACCCAATTTCAAGTATAAAATCTTTTTAAGGCATTCAAGAATCTCACATGTCAGTCATTTGGTCTTTTCCTGTTTAAGTGAACAGTTCTTGACCAGAACAAGCAGTAAAATTGCCAAATGTCCAAAGATGTTACTTTAGAATTTATAAGCCAGTCTTATAACACTGCTAACAGATACCACATGCTTTGGCTGTAAATATGAGCCAGATTTGGGTGTGAGATTTTACCTTGGTCCATGGATGTGCTTTGATCTGTGGAAATTTGAACTCAGTGTAGTTCGGGTTCATTTCACGGATCTGTTCTCTTGTGGGTGTTCCAAGTACCTGAGCAGACAGACAGAAACAACTGTGAAGAACGCTGGGTTGAAAAAAAAACGTTTCATTCAATCATTCATTTTGAATGTGGCACTTGAGGGAGTTAACAACACTGTACGGAGTACCCCCATCCTCACACCAAATGTCAGGCCCTGTAGATAGGCCAGCCTATATAAAGATCATTTAGTAGCCTACACATAAATTTGAAATGTACCTTAGCATATTAGAGGAAAACGCTACATATTTCGATTGAATTGATGCTTGAAGAATGTACTTCCACAGCAGCCATGATTAAAAGCGGTTGGGGGTTAAAGTTTCTAAGCAGAATTTGATTTGAAGGATCACATTAATGAATAAAAAAATAAATAAAACAAGCATATAAAGAGTAATGACCACAGACAGAGGGAAAATAGCGAAGTAAAAGTACCGATACATCACTTACATTTTTTAAACTACTCAAAAAAAGCTACATTTCTGATAAAAAGTACTTACAGTAATTTGTAATTCGTTACTTCACATAAAATAAAACCAATAAAACCATTGTCTATTTACATTAAACACAGTGCAGTCCAGTAAAATATGTTTAACATTCATTTTAGGAGGCATGATGGTGGTTCTTAACCTTTTAATAAATAGCCATGTGTAAGTCTTCTATGTAAAAACAAACTTGATCATACCTAGATTTGAAATTAGTGAAAAAAACTTTCTTTTACTTGGATTTATTTCATGTAACTTATTTCTGTGGCATTCATCCCATTCCATCTGCCAAATGTTATTAATATAAGAGTTTATTTCTGGTCTGAGATCAGAGGGTTGAATTTGACACTGAAATATTCAAGTTGAGAGCCTCCTTTGCAGCGATGTCTATTTTCTCATTACTAGATAAACCAATATGACCTGGAACCCAGCAGAAAAAGATACTAAAGATTTACTTCCAGGTTCTCCAAGTTTTTTATCACACTTTTTATCGTCATTCATCAAGGTCTAATATACTCAGGCCTGGCTTCTTATAAATAAAGATATTCCTGTAGAAAGACTGGTAAGAAGGCTGAATCACTTCTGGTCTGTTGTGGAATGAAGGATCTCTGGATTTGTATAAAGAACTGGAGAGGTCCTAAAAGCTCCCAAGGCCAGGCGTAACCTTTGATGGTGTATAGTAGAACTGAATCTAATGAGATCCTTTGACAGAAGTTGTGAATGGTACCCTAATTCCAAACTGTACCACCTCACTTTTTTGGGACCCTTCCGTTGGGGTACCTAGCACAGTAGTCTTGGACTAATACCTGGTTCAGATTACACAATTTTTTCGTCTGTTACGATAGTCGCTGTGTCAGATTACGCGATTTTATCTCCTAAAATCTTGTCGTGTCATGGACAAGACACCTCAGACTACACGTTGCTTCCTGACCAGTCTTTAACGGCGCGCGTGATGTCATCGAGAAGGTGAAACTAGTAGCGAGTGACTTCCGGAAACGAACGTAAACAAACAATGGATGAAGCGGTGAGTGTTGTATCCTGTGTTCAGAAAAAAGTAAAAAAAGAAAGAAAACCCGACAATGGACACGTTCCTGGATCGCTCGAAGAGGACAGTATGGGCTGTCAATCCTCCGAAGAGATCTTGAGGTAAAATATTGTTTTCTTATATATTTTTACTTTTAGTTTTAACATTACCACCATCGTCTCTCTTTAGTTTCACCATTTTTGAATGTTGTGTACGGAAAAGCTTCTGTGTTCCTATTGGTCAACCTCATACATGTGACGGAATCATTGTGGGCGACCGTTAAAAAAATTAAACATGCTAGTCTTTTTGTCGTGATGTCGTGAAGCATCGCAGACACGACGTAGGTTGTCACACACTATGACACACTATACAAGATGATACGATCGAATCTTTAGTCCCGACAACCGTTGTTGTTTACGAATCCCCATGACACCCTACGTCAAACGGATCGTGCCAAAATCGGGCTAAAATCGTGTAATCTGAACCAGGCTTAAAGGGTGGAGCTAAACGCAGAACATTGGTTGATAGAAAAATCGTAAGCTTTTTCAGCCTTTTTACTGTACTGTACGATAGAAACGAGCCATTAAAGTACTGATCAAAATTAAAGGGTTAGTTTTACCTTTATGATCTCCACTAGCTGGTCCACACCACTGTCTCCAGGGAAGATGGGCTGCCCCAGCAGCAGTTCGGCCAGCACACATCCAGCCGACCAGACGTCAATGTTGGAGGTGTAGTCTGTCGCACCAAAGATGAGCTCAGGGGCACGATAGTATCGTGAGCAGATATAAGAGACGTTAGGCTCACCCCTCACCAGCTGCTTTGCACTGAGACAGATTTGAATTATGAGACAAACTTTAATTAGGCAGTCAGAATGAAAAATTACAGATTTATACATCCTCAATAAAACAAACACTGATAAGCTCACCCCCACAAAAATAGTCAAAAATCTCCCTCCATCCCAGCACACACAAATTTGCAATTTTAAACAAAAGGCATATGACAGACCTGCTGGGAAAACAGACTAAACAATTACTCCACTCTGATGTGCATGGCTGCATACTCGGACAAATAACTATTTTTAAGGTTTTTCACTTGTCAAATTGTCCACTTTTTTTTTCCAGACACAAAAGCGACTGTTTCAATGTTCCCTCAAAAGAAACAAAAGAAAATGCAATGACTAGAATGCCAACTAGTGCCTTAAACAAACACAAAAATAAATACTTGAAATTGCAATTAATTAAACAAATGTAGTCTGGATTACAGTGGTCAACAACATGTCTGCCTGCCTGGGCTGCCATCAGATAGTTCAAGTGTTCTTCATAAAAACAGCTTAAAAAAGAAACCGTTTTTAATGAGATTCCATCAAAAAAGGGGGCAAAGGAGGACAAGCAGAAAGACAATCTGACCATCAGCATCAATATCTCGATGCATATTGCTTTTATCAAACAGAGAACATGAACAATGGCATTTGCTTACGCATTAAACAACCCAATCAGAAACATTCCCTTGCATAAGGCTGCAGGGAGTGCGAGATAATGCATTGACTATATACATCAAATCTAGAAACCAACTAAGGCCCATCCTTATAAAGAGGTGCACTCTCAAAATACAAATGAATGTAATAGTGTAACACCCATTAAAACCAAACATAATCTTCACTGGCGGACATAAGGTTACATTTGAGAACCCATCAAATCTACCAGCTCGCTCGTGCTCTCTCTCTCTCACACACACACACACACGCAGCACTGACCTGCCAAAGTCACAGAGCTTGAGAACAGCTGTTTCTGGGTCCACCAGAAGGTTTTGTGGTTTGATATCTCGGTGACACACACCTTGGGAATGGATGTATGCCAAACTGCGGAAAAGCTGATACATATACACCTAAGAGAAAATAAAAGCAAGTAAGCAAAAATATCTTTCTTTTTTGTCTTTAAAATAAAGATTTTTATCAGTCGCCATCTTTCCTTAATGAAGACTGATTAATGAGTAATTCTGAGTAGTTTTATTACTAGCATCTTCAATGACAACATGAAACTATATTTAAGTAAATGTAATGCATTTCTTTATCTTTTCCAAAATTTTAACAAAAAAAATGTTTAAAATGCTAAATTAAACAAACATCACATTTTAACCCATTTTGCCAAAATAATATACATAAAAATACTAAAGTATTATTAATAATATTATTATTATTTTTATTTTTGTTGTTGTATTATTATTAACAGTATAATAAATCAATGAATGAATACATTATAACATTGTGACACATTTCTAAATAAAACAGACTATTACACAAGAAATGTACAGTAGGCTGAGGGACTTTCTTGCACAATCCAGTCAAATCTTGAATAAAACAAAGTTGGCTATGATATCGTCAGCTGATATTTATTTCCTGTCCATTTGGCTTTGGTTATGTCAGAAGTGGTGAAAAGTAATTATTAAAGCAATAAGCCTTGAGAAGCTGTGTCTCACAGTGATTTTCCCACAATGGCAACAGCAAAACTATAAAATAAATCCAATAAACAGTTAAATTGATTAATCATGATCAAAATAATTTTTGTGCCAAATAATTGAGTTCTTCTAATTGTAGTAATATCAGTCAAACTGAAATCTGCATGTGTTTGACAAACTAATGAATTGTGGACAATAAGACCAAGGACATTTATTAATCTCCTCAACCACCACCAATGTGCAACATCCACCTGGATTAGAAGGCCATGATGGACTGGGGCCAATGCCCAAACTTGGCCTACTCTTTTTTTCTTAAGGACATCCTGGGATTTTTAATGAACACAGAGAGTTAGGACCTCAGTTTACCGTCTCATCCGAAAGACGGTGCTCTTTGACAGTATAGTGCCCCCATCTCTATATATTGGGGAATTAGGACCCACACAGACCACAGGATGAGCGCCTCCTACTGGCCTCACTAACCCCTCTTCCAGCAGCAACCTGGGTTTCCCATGAGGTCTCCCATCCAGGTACTAACCAGGCTAAGCTTCAGTGGGCAACCTGTCTTGGACTACAGGATGATATGGCTGCTGGCATCAGCATTTATTAAAAGAATAAATAATGTGAATTTTGATTTTGTTTTGCCTTTAAAAAGTCAAGAATTGACTCAGTTTTAGAGAATGTTTGTTCAGTCAACTTTACCTTCACATAAAAGATTGGAATATTGGCTTTCGCTTTGCTGAAGTGTCGTGACACCCTGTAGACAGTCTCGGGCACGTATTCCAACACCAGATTGAGGTATACCTCATCCTTCTGTGGAATAAATACACATTTAATTTGTAGATTATGAAAGATAATATAACTTGTCAAAAAAAAAAAAAAAAAAAAAAACATGCATGGCCAAAACTATTTTGGGAAAATCCTTGCATCTAGATTCATTTAGTGTGAATGAATATTTATGCATCATTCTATCATGTAGTGTACTTATGGAGAAGATATAGAGCCTTTAAAATCACAACAAGACCATTAGACAACACTAGAGCAACAGAACAGGCCATCAGAATGAAAAGAGTCACCATTATCTTTTTAACCATTTCAGCTGGAATTCTCAAGAATTACACAAACATTTACAAGTAGTGTACATATTCGGTTTGAGGTCATAAAACAGAGCTTTGCAATAAATATCACAGGTCTTTACCTTCTCTCCACTGCAATAGAAGAAATAGCGCAACCTCACTATATTGCAGTGGTCCAGTTTTCTCATGATCTGTAGTTCTCGATTCTTCATAAACACAGAAGAAAGACTGTTAGCATCTCTCAGGGATAAGAGACGTCACAATATTTACAAGCAAGCAATCACGACAGTACAATCACGCTAGAGCAGTCTGGGTTTAAGAGCCTTGTGTTTGCTTTGGTAGTGGACAGCACAAGTGGGTCATGTAAACAGTTAGCGCTTTCAGGTTAAAAGAGGGCGGCGTTGGTCAACTAAATGACCATATACTGGTGATATATTCGAATCAGAATATCGCTGTGCATCTGAGAAGATCTCTTAACCCAAGACTGCTTAACAAATATTACTGTACTCCCAACCTCTGAATGAAAAACATCTGTTGTCATGTAACATGCAAAGAACTAGGAACACTCATAGTTCAAAGGGGTCATCGGATGCAAAATTCACTTGTATATGGTGTTTGCATATAAATGTGTCTTTGCAGTGTGTGGACACAACCACCATACAATGAAACAAATCCATTCACTCCTTTTTTTAATCCTCAAAAAGTCTAAACTCGAAACAATAATCAAGCCGTTTGGATTTGAGCAATATGATGTCATGTCATTCATGCTCCGCCCACAACCACTGACGGACTGTCCCATATTAGCATATTTCCGCCCTCAGCCATTTGTATACAGAACTTTACGTGTCTTGTTTCGATACCCCCCGTGGAAGAGAGGGGTGGGGTGAGCAGTTGCTCATTATCATTTAAAGAGACATGCACCGAAACGGGTCGCTGTGAACAGAGCTGGTTTTGAGGAGGTAAAAAGAGTGATGTTTTACACAACCAGTGAGGAATTTTATCCAAAATATCTTACAAACTTTACATGAAGGCCCTAAAGAATGATACCAACTTGAGGGAAATGGGCATCCGATGACCCCTTTAATATATACTTCTTTTTTTTAGTAATCACATTTTAAACCACAGATAATATTATAATACTTTGTCACAATTTCATCTGTAATTTAGTACAAAGTAACCATATTATATTAAATACAAATCCTTTAACCAGATTGGGTCAACGTACCTTAAACCGCTTATCCTGAAGTACCTTCTTGATGGCCACCCACTCCTGACTGTCAATGAGGCGTGCCTGATACACCACGCCAAAGGAGCCATTACCGATCACCTTGATATCAGTATAGGACACCTCCTGCGGGCGATCCGGGCCCTGGCCTGGGGTGGCAACCACTGTGGTCACCTTCCCACTATCTCCTAAAATACATTTGAGACATCTGATTAACCAAAGCTGAGGTGCTTCCTGTACATGTAAATGAGCAAATATTAGCCAATATGTTCTTGCAGAACTACATTAATTCAAATAGCAAAGCTATTATCTAAATATATTCCTACCTACTTGGAATATTAAGGGTGTAGTGGTTCATATTTTAATTTCAATTTCCTAATCATTTATTGTCACGTGTGTTCTTGACTTTACGGACCCGACAGTAACAGAAACAAACCTTGTGCATGTGTCCTTGTGCAAAGTGTAAAACAGAGTATTTGTCATTGTGAAGGAAACATGGCACATATTTAACTAAATACGGGCCTGTCCTGCCTGTGTCCTTCACACAGGACATTATGACAGTGGGCGTGTCGGGACAGTTAGTTAGTTGCCTATCTTAAAAATCACTTTAATGACTTGAACTGGTTGTCAACCATTTATTCTCTCAAGTTGATGACAGTGTTTTAAATCCTAGTGTGCAGCCTATTTAGACCAATGCACTACAAAATACTGACTAGGCTACTGCAATGTTTTTTGGGCATAGTATTGCCATGGTATTTATTTTCTCCCTCTGGTAACACCATGGTTTACCAAGTAACGTACCATGTAAATATCAATGCACATGAATATGGAAATCAGTACCATGTTATATCAAAGTGCCATGATATTAGCATCACTGTACCATGGTAACGCAACAGGACTTTGTGTTAATGTCCCAAAAGGCTGTTTACACACCTCAAAAGGTTTTGAGACCAAGTCAATATCTCTCGTTTATAATAACTTAACTCAGAATTTTGACAATTTTCCTTGGCTAGCATGGGCTAGTTTCGTGGAGATCACATAACAGTCAATATCAAGAAAGCATGGGTGTGTTATTTAATTATACAAGCGATATATTCATTAAACACTCATAACTGAGAAAACTTCGCGAATATACTCACTAGCTAGTTTTAAATTTGAGCAAGCCGATGAACTATCCGCCGAGGCCTGTGAGACCCCGGACTTTCCTGCGTTGCTCCCCACGACAGCGGTGGTTCCGGCGGATGCTGCAGCGGCTCCGGACGCCCCCTGAGGCTCAGCGAACGAGCTCGTCCTGGGCCGCCCGCTGCCGCTCATATCTGACTGAAAGTTTGCCGAGGCTTGGGGGCGATGATCAGCTGTTCCCTCGACGACTTGGCCTGGTGCTGGGTGAAACATTTAGTTAAAAACTAAAAGATGACAAACGTTTTGCCGCGACCCTCAGCGTTCACCCACTCTCTCACGCGCTGAGAATACGCGCAGCCTCATGGGGAATGCAGTTCGAGCGCACCGTAGCCTCACTATATTGATAAATATATAAATAAAACGGCAGGTGTCATTCACCTGAGCAGAGGGGTCACTACCTGCATCTCACTTTTATCATGCACAATCATTTATTTGTGTATTATAGACATAAAAAAGAAGGAACAAAAATAAACGTTATGAAAATACATTAAAACTCGTATTAAACAAAAACAAATAATGTCTCTAATAAATAAGACAGATAAAGATATTAAATATTAAAACAGATTATAAAAATTCTTCAGTGTATTAATGTGCTTTATCTCTCTCTATATATACAGTATATATATATATATTAAATATAAATAAATATATATATATGTGTGTGTGCGTGTGTTAATAGTAATAGTAACAATAAAAAGAATCTGTATATAATTATAGACATATAGTTTCTGTTTACATACAGGACCAGAAAACATAGTGACAACATATCTAAAATTTCAAAACCATAATCATATCATACACCACTGCTTTGCTAGTAAAAAAATCAACCACAAAAGAACTGCACAAAAACCAAGCATTGTGTTAGGTCTTTAATTTTTTCAGTAATCTCTTGTTTAGAAATATTGCACATGGTCAACATGCCTGTTGATGAGTTTACACTCACCTTTCTCATTCTAAAACTCCTTCTCCAAAGTAACGACAGTTTATTGGATACACAATCATAAGGTGTACACGCATACATGTGCAGGTATGTGTGTGTGTGTGTGTGTGTGTGTGTGCAAGCATTTGTCTGTTGCTGGGGGAGGGAAAGAAAGGGCAGATACGTCAAGTTAAGAATTGTGTTGGTCAGTAGCCAGCATATGCTAACAGTCTTTTGATGTAGTGCCACTGCTTTTCTGGCAGGGAAAATATGAATAAGCATTTGCTCGGGAGTAAATTCGATTTGTCAAAGTGCATGTAATGTACGCACATACGCTCGCACACACACAGACATCTGTATATCATGGGACATATAGAAATATATAGATATATTTATACATTTATATCGTCACACATTCAAGTGAAGACTGAGTAGCATTTTTATACTCATCACTCCTTCTCTTTCAGCAAAACCAGACGCAAGAAAGTGCTAGGTTACATTTTTTTCTCTTTTTTTTTTTCAGATTTTAGTTTGTTCAGTTTGGATTTCTCTCTCGATACTCGCTTTTAAACTCTGAATTTTTTTTCCAACTCTCTTTTCAACATATATATCATTTTATTACAGCTTGTACAGTGAAAATCTATGGCACTAACAGGTCACTCGTCTACTTCAAAAAAATTCCCACCCACGTCCTATTGCACCAATGAAAGAAGAGGCAGAGTAAGAAAGAGGAGATCCTGAGAAATGCCGCCCCAGCGCTGGTCTCGGGTCAGCTTTCCCTTGCGTAATCCTGAATCAAAGTCCTCGCAGGCTACAAAGCTTGCTCTGACTCCAGACCAGTGCTTAAAGTGGCGCTTTCCATCAACACTTCAGTTAAAAGTCTTAAGGAGATGAAAAAATAAGGACTTTCCTTACGGGGTCGCGGAAAGGGAGAATCGAACGCAATGGAACAAAGTCGTCGGTTAGTTTTTAAATATCTAAAAACAAATACTTTCCTGATTTAAATCATGGTCTAAGACCATATATTGTGCAAACACCTGATTGAAATATAAAAAAGAAAGAAAGAAACGAGGAAAAGAACACAGAGAGAGCCTCGTGCCCACCCTCTGCCCCCCTCCCCAGCCATCACGTTTTTTTTTATATATATATATATATATATATATATATATATATATATACTATATATATATACAGTGTACAGGGAAAAGCCTAAGTCGGCGGCCAGAGAAGAGGAGCTTCAGCTAAGAGGCTAAAACACAGTCTTTTTTTTTGTCGTTTTCAACGTAATTGCTCCAACACTTAGATAGCTGGATTAGTCCATGCTGAAAATATTACTATAGTAATAATAATAATAATAAGAAGAAGAGAGGCGCAAGCTAATACAAAAAATAAGGAGATATCAGTCAGTTCCACCGTTACGACACAACAACAAAACGACAAAGCATATCTACACGTTGACTCAAAGAGGGGTAGTGTCTCTATTCATTTTCGTCTTCTTTTGTACGATTCGTCCGAGGTTAGGACAAAGTTTTCCTCTCTCGCTGCGAGTGTGCTGTGTTGTTGTTGTTGTTGTTGTTGTTATGCGATTGTGGTGGTCGCTGTAGCCTCTGTTTTCTGCTCCGCTGGTCTACGTGATTACAAGTCTTGAGTTTGTTGCTTCTGGGACAAAAAAAAAAATAAAACCTGTTGTGAATTTACAGCCCGTGCTGAAGAACAGTAACAGCCGATGCATGTACCCCGCCGCGGGGTGTAACATTTGCACGAAGACCCTTCTCCTCCCCGGCTATTGCTTTACCCGGTCTCTAAAAACGAAAGTGCAAGCGCATTTGTCCCCCGCTAACCACCCCCCACCCCATCCCCGTCTTGAATTGAAAGTTACCGGTACCTCAAACAGTCTAATTTCTCTTCTAAAACATTCAGTCCATTCGATAAAAATCTGTGCTAGCCCCATGCGGGGGTGTTTACTGAGCATGTGCAGACAGGCTGGTTTGGTGCTGCCTGTGGTGCAGCATCGAAGGGCTCTAAAACTCTGACAGAGAGTGACGCCCGCCCTAATGCAGAGGTGGACCAATGACTGCCCCGACACCAGTGGCATATGCAAATGAGTGCGACCACATGCGCTGTTTGTAATAGTTCCTTGTGCAAGTTATTAATGTGTGAAAGTGATATTGTTATGTGATTGCATAACGTGTGTGAACATGTGCGTGTGTAACTGTGCATAACAACAGAACATCAACGAAGTGAACGCAATGGCAACGAAATCAGTTCGATTAGAAATGAAGTGCTGTACTGTCAGCGGAAATTTCTACAATCCATCCCTCCCTACGTTCATCTTTCATCCTTCCGTTCTCAGTCGTTCTTCATCTCGATTCCTGCGGGTCTCCCGCGTCTTTCTTTGGCTCTTCCGTGGCCCTGGTCCTCTCGTCTGGCTCGGAATTCTCCCTGGGCGCCGGATTGGATGGTCCAGATGTGGAGGCGAAGTCAGAGCCGGCGAGAGCCACGCCTCCCACGATTTCAGAACTGCCGGCGGTCTGCATGATCTTCTGCCTTACCTCGCGAATCTTCAGCTGCAGGCACAGCTTGTTGGGAAACGTGTCCGAGTAGCGAGCTTGGAAGGCAGCTGTGGCTTGCGCTGTAACAGAAAAATGAAATATGCATGCTAAGTTTTCTATGTTAGCATCAAAAAACAAAAAAACAATTAAATATGAATATCACTGACTGCTGCATTTGACAAAACAACTAATCTGAAATGTAAAATAAACTGAAATGTAAATCATTTGTTCACAACGTTACAATTATAAATGTATAAATGAGTGGTTTGAGTGGTGGTTATGTTTCTACAAAGTACAATACTGTACTGCTTTTGAAAGAAGTCTCTTATGCTCACCAAGGCTACATTTATTTGATTGAAAAATATAGTAAAAACCAGGGCTGGGCATTGACACAAATTCCTCTATTCGATTACGATTCACAAGTTCGCGATTCGATACTGATTAATTGCAGCCCATCTGGTACCGTACATGGCAAAAAGGAAAAAATATCACTCAACTATACAGAGAACCCCAGTAGGTACATTACTTTAATATTAAAATTAAAATTAAAATTAACTGATTTTTATGGTACTTACATTTACATTTATTCATTGAGCTGACGCTTTTATCCAAAGCGAATTGCTATATACATGTCAAAGGTCGCACGCTCCTGGAGCAACTAGGGGTTAAGTGTCTTGCTCAGGGACACATTGGTGTCTTACAGTGGACTCGAACCCCGTCTCTCAGACCAAAGGCATGTGTCTTATCCACTGCGTCATCACATCCTACTTGCATATTGGTAAGCTGTACTGTATCTTTCAACATACCTTCTGATGTTCATTTACATTTATTCATTTTAGCTGACGCTTTTATCCAAAGCGACTTACAATTGCTGTATATGTCAGAGGTCACACGCCTCTGGAGCAACTAGGGGTTAAGTGTCTTGCTCAGTGGATTCGAACCCGGGTCTCTCACACCAAAGGCATGTGTCTTATCCACTGCGTCATCACCACCCTTATTTCATTTATGTTTATTATACTGGGATATGTTAACTTGATGTTACCTGAGGGGAAGAAGCCGTGCTCCTGGAAGAGTTGCATGACGAGTGCACGCCGCTGGTCCAGCATCCGACGCAGAGAAGAGGGCGGCACGCGGTCAAACTCCTCCAAAATATTCTCCGTCTCTCCAACTGATAAACACAGAAGACAAGAAAACATATAGAAATAAATATCATCATGTATGGGATAATGAGAGTGAGTTTATACATAAAAATGAGCCCACCAGCCCTATCGAAGGTGAAGATGTCCCCTTCACACTTGGCAGCACTCTTGGGTGTGTTGGGCTCTGAGCTGCAGCTGGACAGGCGACGACTCTTCCTCCTTGGGGAACTGGGGTCGTCGGCGGAGTCTAGATCTAGGGAAGAGAAGAAAAGAGAAAGAAAGAGAAGATCAAAAATCACATAAAAAGCAAAAGCAGTACAATTAAAATAATGGCTTAATAAACAAATACCTGTAGAGTTCCTCCTCTTCTTGCGGTAGCTGCCCAGTATGGCTCTAGGGGAAGTTGCTAGACTCTGTAGATTGGGAGAGGGCAGCACCTCTTCTGGCTTGAACTCCGGCAGCTCTTTAAGACGCTCTTCAAAAGTGGAACCAAACAGCGTCCTGAGAAAGAGCAAATATAGTTTTTATATAAATAATGTACAGTACATCACATATACAGTAGTTCTTCAATGAGGTGAGCAGAACTGCAGGGACATGACTACCAATGACTACCATTTTGGTGTAAATGAAAAGAATACGTTTTTTTTTTTAAACATAAGTGCAAACAAATGTGTCACAATGCAGAGGCTTAAACATTCTGCAACAGTCAGTTTTCCCTTCCAGGTCAAATATTCTCTTGAATGAATTTTGAAGTGTTAGTAAACTGTCAACATGGCAATGGCACATATATTTGAAGGTCTATTGAACCCTTGAGTACTAAGGTGAGTTAATAGTACAGTATCGCAAGGATGTATGTTAAGTATGTATAATGACCACATGTTTGCAATTCACTAGCCAAGTATTTACAGCATATTATGTTTTTGGCCACCCGGTGATACAATTAATAATGTTCATGCCAATGGCTTCGACCAGTATTGTAATTGTTAAATAAATTAAGACATATGAAACATAAAAAATAAAATGAAACAAACATAATAGATTAAAAACTATTTTCTAGGCAACTACTTGAAATAAAACCAGTTTAAAGGGTTAGTTCACCCAAAATGTTGTCATTAATTACTCGCGTCATTCCAAACCCGTAAGCCATTTGTTCATCTTAGGAACACAAATGATTTCTGTCCCTCCATTGACAGATATAATGCAACTGACACTTTGGCACTTTAAATAGTTCATAAAGAGATTGTAAAACTAACCCACATGAATAAAACTTTGGTTGGTTGACGTTGGTTCTCGTACGTTAAACGAACATGCTTGAGCTTCCGTTTACCATACCTGATGTGTTGATGAATATTCATGAGAAATTGAATCTGTTCATCATGTAAAGCGATTTCAGAAAATCTTGACTAAACAGCTCAATTCATATGGATTAGTTTTATGATCTCTTTATGAACTTTTTGATGCGTCAGTTTCAGTTGTGTAGCTGTCAATGGAGGGACAGAAATCTCTCAGATTACAGTAAAAATATCTTAATTTGAGTTTCGAAGATGAACGAAAGTCTTATGGGTTTGGACATGAGGGTGAGTGAGTAATGACAGAATTTTTCATTTTTGGGTTAACGATCCCTTTAAAGTCAAAGTCAAAATGACTAAAACTTAAACTAATAAACATTAAAGGCCATTATAAATAATAAAATAACACTGCTAGTCTAGTCAATGTGTAATCTAGGGCAAAGCCACTCACTTTTCACCAGCATCAGCAGTGCTTTTCAGTGGAGGTGGGCGGAACTTGGCCTTTTTAGCTGAAGGAGTGTCAGTCTGCAAAGGCGGTGGCGGGGGTCCAAAACAGAGGATTCCCTGCGCCCTGACTGAAAGAAAAATTCAATTTGATCAATGGAGAACATGTTGATTCAATCTTGCACAATGAAGTTTTGTATGTTTAAATTGATCACAGCTGAGAAAAGCATCTTACTTCTCGACTCTCGTCTTTGTTGTTGGTCTCAGCTTGAGTCTCGGTCTCCCCTTCCACTGTTTCAACTCTCTCTGTTTGAGACAAGCCCGCTCCCACATCTCTCGCATACTCGCGCTTCGTTTTGCTCCCTTTCTTTCCGTCCTCCTTCCCTTCGCAATGCTGACCTGCTGAACATTTTGAATTTGACTTTGAGAGACTGCTATTCTGTATGAGACAAACGCTTGAACAAAATATATGGCCAAAATATACTTTTGAAGCAGCGATGGATGGTATAACTAAAAGCTTATATTATGGTGACAGTCTAAAATCATAAAACTCTTCAAGGCATCTTTGATAAATTGAATGTGCCCTTGTTGAATGAAAGTATTAATAAAAGTGTATTAAAGTATTTTTTGTTAGAAAACAGAGCCCAAATTTTTGAATAAAATTCTCACAATATAGTTGTTTTTGCTGAAAATTCATAACAAAGTATTTTTAAACTACTGAAATTACTGTTAAAATGAGTATTTTACTACTGTACAGCTGAAGTTTATGATGTTACCTTTACCTTTATGTTTGTGTGACGTACAGATGGGTTGCACCGATTCCTCCAAACCACTAGGTGGCGCCTGATGTCCATCCTTTGGCACCACCAGGTCTCTCTGTTTCTCCATCTCTTTCCTAGATTCTGCTCCTCTCTCGTTTTCCATTTGCATGTTTACCTGAGACTGCAGCTGCGCATCTGTCTGCGTGTGTGGTTGCGCAGCCGCGGCTGAGGAGGTCTTCGCTTGAGGCGTTGAGGATGATGCCGGAACTGATGTGGAACTTGGTGTGCTTTGTGGCACGGCTGTCACTGACACAACTCCTCCGGCTAAGCTGGGGTAAATGGCGGTCATAAGTTGACGGGTGGCTGTCGAGGCTTGTGCAGGTTGTGACAATCCGCTCGGGGGTGGGCACTGAGCCAGGAGGGGTGGCTGACCTGTGATAGAAATTTGATAATGTTTGTCATACAGTCTTAAATATGTGTTGGTGGTTTAAAGAACTGTCAGATATTACACATAGGTCAAACTCTGACAGTTAATGTTATTCCTCATTCCCCTTTATGACGCCAGGGGACGTAACATACTTACTTGCAACAATAGGCTGAACCAAGGCCTGACCTGCTGGGGCAATTGCAGTAAAGCCAAGAGTCGCCACTGGAGATTGCAAGAAAGATGGACCCACGGGTGACGGGGTTTGCTGGGTGGAAGAGACTGCAGGTGTCGAACCCAATGGCAAAGGAGTCGCAACTACTCCAGGAGTGGACTGGACATATGTGATCCTGAACAACAAAAGCACAGCAGAAAGGATCTTTTTTTAACAATCCCGTCAAAGGAGCAAACGTCTTACACTAAGTAACTAAAGTCAGAGGATGAACGACTGAAAAAAGGAATAAAAGTATTCACTTTTAAACCGTTTCTAAGTTTAGTTTTAGATAAAGCTTTTGTGTTTTGACAAAAATGCAGTCATTGATTCTTCTCATCATATTGAAAAATGTTAGTTCATTTTACACTGACTGAACTGGCACATAATTTTAGTAAATGACAAATTGCAAAGGACAACATTATATATATTAATTAATTATATTTATATATTATAATTATTTATATATATATATATATATATATATATTAGGGGTGTAACGATACACGTATTCATATTGAACCTTTTGGTACAAGGCTTTCGGTTCAGTTTTCGGTACACATTTTTGAACCGAACCAACTGTAACCATGGAAGTAGGCTATAATGCTTTCAAGGAACATCAAGTCGGTTTTATTTTGACATTATGAATACAATTGCTGCCCTCAAATGTTAATCTGAACTAAAATAAACCTTTGTTCATAACTACTACAATATTACACTTCATTTTGTCCAAGGAGCTGTTTTGTTTTATACTTTTTATACTAAGAAAAGTCAAGTATAGCTCCATCAAAGTAAAAAAAAAAAAATCATACTTTATGTTATGATTTTAATGTTAGTTTTAGTTTTAATGTTGATTTTAATGTTAGATGTTAGTTTTAATAAAATAATTAAAAAAATAATTATAGAATTAATTAATTATATTTTAAAAAATTAAAAATAATTAAAAAAAGGAAATTTCTCTGCCATTTCGTTCTTTTTGCTGTATCGGAAATGAACTGAACTGTGACACAAGTGTCTCATAACGAACCGAACCGTGAATTTTGTGAACCATTACACCCCTTATATAAATTTTTACTGCATTTTAATAGAGTAAATCATGCATTAAGAGCATGCACACAGTAGTCTGCACTGTTTTTTATGTTTGGCTTTTGCAAAGTGAGGGACAAACTGTACTTGATAATGTCAGATTGCACATCGTTAAAACAACAAAAACAACATTATTGTAGATACTGAGGTGTGTGTATATAGACCATTTCACAAGATGTAAACAACACTGGTCCAGAAGCACTTCCTGTTTCAGTTTTTTAACACTACATAAAAGCTGGGATAAAATACAACCAACAGAACATTTAAAACTGAATCAAAAATTTAAACAAACATCTTTAAGATGTTTTCTTTACATGTGAAATAAAGAAAACGGTTACAAACTGAAACAGGAAGTGCTTCTGGGCCAGTGTTGTTTACATCTTTTGAAATGGTCTATATATATATGGCACACCTCTAATTATACATTTAATAAGAAAAAATACAAATCAATTATTGCCTTCAAAAAAACATTGTTATTTTATGTTTTTGTTTTTAACATTGTGTTTTCATTAAAATTATTCAAATATTGTCACAGTATACGTCTTTTTATTTAGTCTCATCTTCATTATCACTGACGAAAATAAAACTGTCAACTAACATATTTGTCAGTAATTTTGGTATCGGGTGCCCCTAACCCCAGCTCAAACCCTACCCTTTCTGAAACTTTATAGGATGTTGTCCCAGGACCAACAAGGATGTTGATCCAGGAACATGTCCTACTTGGCACGGTCACCCGAAGCTTAGGTTATGTTATGTTTCAGTACTCAGATGTCTGGCAGCAGTTTTAAAGAGACAGTGGGCGCTTGAGTACCTTGTAGGTGGTGGCGTCAAGAGCACCGTCTGAGAAGGGGTGGGCCCTGGGGCCATGACAGTCGCGGTTGGCATAGAGACAGGAAATGAGCTGCCGGTATGCACTGAACCACCAGGATGCACATTTGTTTGGACCACAGGCATTGGTGCAATTTGAATGATCTGAAAAGCAAAGAAGCGCTTGAGTCCGACTCATCAATTGTTAGTACAATAAATACTTCTCGTTCGTGTAGCAGGGAAGTAACTCAAGTCAATCTACCTTACTTCCTGGTTGAGCCCCATTTTGAACAGGAAGGGGTGGGCCAACCAGGGAAATTGGCTGCGGAGGTGTAGATCCTGTTCCGACAGTTGCCATGGGAACAAGCATCTTGCTCTGCAAGACTGGGGACTGCGCTTGAACTGTGCAGAGAGATGAAAAGGACTGATATAGTAGAGACCGAGAATAGATTTGATGAAGTGCCTAATTTCCCAAACACTGTGTGCATAATCCTGATCCCTCTAAGCTTGAGAAACCTCATTAAATCTCTCAAAATCATGAATAAAAACATGCTAAAGCTCACTCTGACATGGATTTGGACACATCACATAATTAACAGGGTTCCCACATGTTTTGAAATGAATTTCAGTGACTTGTTCATGAATGAGTCATTTGTGAACTGATTTATTGAAAAGAACCAATTCACTCACAAATCAAATATTGGGCTTGGTTTACACATTCAAACCAGAGGTTTTGTTTTGTTAAACCTTTAAAGCAGACACATACAAATATTAGGGTTGTTTTAGGGTAGGGTCTTAAATAAAAAAAAAGCTAATTTCATCAAGCTAATGATGAGAAAAAGCTAATAAATAAAAAAAAGCTAATTTTATTAGCTTAAAATTAGCTTTTTTTTAATTTAAGCTAATACTTTTATTCAGCAAGGATACTTTAAATTGATCAAAGGTGAATGTAAACGATATTTGCAATGCTATCAAATATAATTCTATTCTATTAACTTTCTATTCATCAAAGAATCCTGAAAAAAAGTTTCTCCATTTCCACAAAAAAAAAAAACAGTTTTCAACATTGATAACAATAAGAAATGTTCCTCAAATAAGCATATTATGAGGATATTATGAGGAAAATTCAGCTTTCCTTTTTTTAAAAGATATTCAAATAGAAAACAACTATTTAAAATTGAAATAATATTTATTTCACAATATCATTATTTTCTGATGCAGCCTTGGTGAGCACATAAAAGGCTTCTATCAAAAACATTACGACCATAAACATTTAAACGGTAGTGTACTCCAATCAAACCAACCATTTTTTAAACGAAGCAAAATTAAGTGAATAATTTGTATACATTTTAAGATTGTATTCATTTTCATGAATTTTCCAGGCCTGAAAAAACTCAAAACTGTGGGAACCCTGAATTTAACTTAAATTTCACCACAACCTCAAATCTCACCTCCACCTCCTGGGCTGACTCCTCCCACTGCTGGGACTGAAGCATATCTTATCCCTTGTCCCGCCCCCGAATGTACACCATTGGCCAGGGTCACATGGGTGGGAGTGGCACTAGGCAGGGCAAGGATGCTGGAGGTCTGCTGGGAGGAGGGACTGTTGGGATTGGCAGTTGCAGGCAGAGTTGGAAGGATGTACTGCACCTGTGTTACAGGTTTCCCGCCACTAGAGGGCGTAATAGAGGCAGTGGGGAGGAACTGGTGATGAAGTAGGGGAAGGGGTACTGCGCTGTTACTAGGGGCTCCGTTGCATGGAGTCGGATGAGGTGGGGTGATGAGCTGAACGGTGGGCTGGTTTGGGAAGGCTCCTCCCAAGACTAGGCCAGTAACTAAGCCTCCTTGCCCATTAGGTTTGGGAGAAGAGGAGGAAAAGTACCCACCTCCTCCTGCTCCACCGGCACCTATCAGTAACTTGGGCTTCCCGTCTGGAGGTAGGGTCCCATCAACTGGCTTGCTGGCGATGGGGATCGGGGTGCTAGTGATGGGTCGAACGACATTGGTCACTATGGTGGGGGCCATCCTTGCAGTGCCGTGTGAATAGTACGTCCCCGCATCATGCAGCAAAGTGGTGTTTACACTACTGACGGAGGCTGAATTAATATGGAACGGCACATGCCCTCCTCCACCTCCTCCTTTCCCTTCTTTGGGCCCCCCGTTATTTAGCTCTGCACCACCCATCCCTCTCTTTTTCTTCTTCTCCAGGTTCTCTTCACGCCCTTCTTCATCTTTGTTGCCAGTTGTGCCAGCCAGAGAGGGCGCCAAAGGGGAACGGACTACTGGTTGGAAGAGGCGCTGAAAGGAAAGGATAATTTGTTATATCCGACTACACTGATCTTTCATTCACGTTCTGATTGGATTTGATGTTGATGACACTGTGTTGTAACTTTACCTTTTTTGTGCTGGGTTTTTGATTTGATTAACTTTACGAGATGTGACAATTCAAATGTGGGGAATAGAGAATATGAGGATTTAAGTGAAAAAAAAATGCTTTAACTTCCAACACAAAGCTAATTTATGGCTTCAGGGGACTTGGAATTTACATTGACATTACATTTATGCATTTGGCAGACGCTTTTATGGAAAGCAACTTGCATTCTGATCAATAATAATTTTATCAGTTGAACCCATAACCGTGTCGTTTTTAGGGTCATGCTTTACTGTTTTATCTCTAGGAAGGCTCAAAGTGGAATGTTGTGCAATAGTTATATGTGCTTTTTTGATAAAATGTGATCACTACATATTATTTATGTATGGAAAAGCTGCATGAAAATGTAATGAAAGGCGACATATCTCATTTTCCTTTGGGTTAATTTGATTTACAAAAATAACTAACTAATATGGATAATAAAATAACACTATTTTCTCATTCCGTTGCCATTCCAAACCAATGACAACATTTTCATTGATTTCAACTACTCCACTTTTTTTGGAAATAGGCTCATTTTACAACTCCCACAGAGTTAAATAGTTCAGTTTTAACGTTTTCGAATCCATTCAGCCGATTTTCTGATATTTAGAAGAATATCAGTAACCAGACAGTTTCTGGTCTCATTGACATCCATAGTAGGAAAAAATATACTATGGAAATCTATGAGACCAGAAACTGTCTGGTTACTGATATTCTTCTAAATATCAGAAAATCGGCTGAATACATTAGAAAACAGTAAAACCAAGCGGCAACATTCAAATTTGAAAAATGAAGCCTACCCGGAAGTGCGAAAAACTGCAATACGTCTCATCTCTATTTTTTGTGCTTAATTAAAATTAGACAAATTTGATATATTTTTTTATCTCAAATCTGTATTTTAACAGTTAATATAGTCCTTTAATGCTTCGCTAACTAGTTTAATGCTTCTTAAGCCCCAGTTGTGCAGTTGGGGGCATGTTTTCACACTGCGTTACATTGTGCCCCTATTAGAAATATGCTATTATATTCTATCCTTTTATGAATTCTATTGAGAAAACTTGAGAAACATGTAAATAAAGACTGAAAGCCAATGTTCAGAAATGATTAATTATTATTTTGTTTTGAACTATGCTGTTGTGTTTTCCTGTGTGTTTGTTGTCAAAATCAAAAATTAGATTATTTTGAATTATTAAAAAGGCCATTGTTTTATATGAAAAAGTTAATAATTTTATTTTAGTAAGAAAATATTTTGGTTTGACTTGTAAATTTTTTTTTTATTAGATCAGATAGCATTTTAAGCTGTTATTTGGTGATGTTAAAATGTGCCCCTCATGTTACAATGTTCCCCACCTATGGGGCATGTTGTCACATTTAACATTTCTTTCAGGGTAAATCAAGAAAACACTGTATTAATAAAACAAAACCACATAATTGTTCTAGACATGTGGGAAATTAATGTGGGAAAAAATAAATAGATTTGCACAAACTGAGAAAGTCAAAAAAGCGTTACGTTGTGCCCCACTTTCCCCTGTGTGAGATTCAACACATTCTTTCTATTGTGTGACTGTGGAATTTCTTTGAATTTCCATGAATTTAATTCCACTTCCAGTCATTCAAATTCAAATTCAACTTCTTGGGGGGCGGAGTCAATTCAATTCAAATTCCAATTCATGAATTGAATGGAGGCCAATTCTGAGATTCTGAATTTTGCACAAGCCTGCTGCCCATACCCCCCATAAACAGCCTCAAACCTGTTCTTCAGAAAGTCTATGGGTGAGGTGACAGACGCTTTGTCCATATTTTTTACACTCTATGGGTAAAACTCAACTGAGGGAGTGGTAAAAGGAGCCTATTTCCAAAAAAAAAGTGGAGTATCCCTTTAAGGCAAATATTTGGTCAGTGAACCATCTAAGAGAAGGAACGACATCTGCTGCCTTGTGGATATATCCATTGGCATGGAAAAGCTCACGAGTAAACCCTGAAGAAATAGTACTTACTTGCCAGACAAACAAAGATGCTGAAATAATCTGCTTTTATAAATTAGATGAGAGCAAATATCATTTCTGTTGCTATGGTAATAAGGCTTATCTAATTTAAAGCATATTCCTTAACAAGTGTTCCATAGTCCTTTCACCAATGAAATATAAACATCAACTTTGTTCACTAGACAACGTATCACAGCTGGATGAGGTTAGTAGGCAAACAGCAGTGACATTTTTTCAAACGTCAAGTTGCACAAATGTTTAATGGGAAAGTGTCAGTAATGTTTATTAATTTAACATGAATTTAAAAAACTGCATGTATATTAATTAAACAGAAAAACATGTTTAAAATAGTTTTAGTTGAGCTATAAATGAAACACCGTGGGACTGTCATGCCAGCTCCCCATGTGATGTCTTTAGTGTTACCTTGCTGTCAGCCTCATCTGCATGGTCGTTTTCCTCATCGCTGTCTGTCACTCTCTCTTTACACTTCAGGTCAATGGAGCCGTCTGCAAACGAGTCTTCTGTGAAGGAATCACACGTTAGCTGTGAGACCGGGGCTGGCATATCTCACACTCATGAGACTGAGAGAGCTGAGCAGTGAGGGGATTTTGACTTTCCAAATTCAATGCATGATGTTTTGATGGCGGTGGTGCATCAGAGAGCACAGAGCTCGTGGGAGACACAGTCAGGACTGACTAATAATGAGACAACGAGAATGGAACGCAAAACGCTTGTAAAATCAAAACAAAATAGCTAAAAGCATCATTTTCTGATGGTGGGTACATTCCACATGTAACAGCATTATCTACACATCAGGGGGTTTTCAACAGATCCCCAAAAAAATGGTTAATAAAATTAATATTTGACGTCAAAACGCCGGACAGATTCGTTTTTCCTTTTCTGAACAAACTATTAGTGGTGCTTGCATATGCAAAACATGCCATAAAGATGCTACAGAGTTCTGCTAGGGCGTTGCATGCTGTTCTGGGTTGTTGCTAGCTATATTATTAAAGGAGTAGTTCACTTTTAAAAAAAACTTTTGCTGATAATTTACTCACCACCATGTCATCCAAGATGTCCATGTCTTTCTTTCTTCAGTCGAAAAGAAATTAAGGTTTTTGATGAAAACATTCCAGGATTTTCTCCATATAATGGACTTCATTGGGAACCAAACGGTTCAAGGTCCAGCTTTTAAAGGGCTTTAAACGACACCAGACGATGAATAAGGGTCTTATCTAGGACCCTTTGAGTCATGACTCGAAAAAAAGATTTGAACAGGAGAGTCACGAATGCTCATCACAGAACATAAACATAAAAAAAAACATAAACTTTGTTATTTATTTTTGAAATGACCGATCGTTTCGCTAGATAAGACACTTATTCATCGTCTGGTGTCGTTTAAAGCCCTTTGAAGCTGCACAGAAACTCTCATTTGGACCTTGAACCGTTTGGACCCCATTGAAGTCCATTATATGGAGACAAATCCTGGAATGTTTTCATCAAAAACCTTAACTTCTTTTCGACTAAAGAAAGACATGGGGGTGAGTAAATTATCAGCAAAACTTTTTTTAAAAGTGAACTACTCCTTTAACAAAGATGCATATAATGCATGTAACTTTACCTATGACATCATCATCCCCCTCTTCACAGATCACCATATGCTCTTCATCGCTGGTCACATCCTCAGTCGGCTGTTGAGAGTGAGCAGGGGTGCGGGGCTGAAACAAACCCGCACTTTCCAGATCTGTCTCCTCCTCCCTCCTCTCCAGAGTGTGCACAGCGCTCTGGGAAAAGGCGCGGGGCCGATGAAGCTGCCCGCCCATTGATCCTCTGTGACCGTCAGATCGAGGGGAAGTCCAGCTAGGCCCTGCTCCTTTGTGGTCTGTCCCTTGAGATGTGGAATGGGCCTCTGGAGAGACAAAGAAGGTTAACTCTACATCAGCTGTGTTTCACACTACTGTGCACTCATAGTTTCACAAGACCAACAAACGCCCACGCATATTAACAAACACCCACACGGACCTGTGCTTTCAGACACGCTGCGCTCGCGAGCTTCTTTGGCCCCAGGAGTTCCCCGGCCCTCAGACAGGGACTTCCTCCTGTCCTTGTTACACCATTTCCAATCAGGGTGAGCACGGAAATGAGCCTCCTTCACCTAAAGGAGAACAAGAGAAAAACAGTAACGGGCTGAAGAAATAAAGATCATGCACAGTCTAATTTCGAATATTTTTACATAAATGTAATGTGCACAGTTTTTTTATTTGATTAATGAGTAATGTATCATCAATTCACTAAATAGTATTATTAACTTATAAAGGATTATACTGTATATACACATTACTGTTTTACTTTTTTAAATTAACGTTTGTTAACCAGTACGATTTTTTTTTTAAATTTAAGAAGCAAACATACTTAGCAAAATAATTTTATTTAGGATGCATTCAATTGATCGAAAGCGATAGTTAAGATTTGACAATGCTGTTCTTTTGAACTTTTCTTTTGAAAGTTTCCACTAACATGTTAAAGGAGTAGTTCACTTTAAAAAAAACTTTTGCTGATAATTTACTCACTCCCATGTCATCACAGATGTCCATGTCTTTCTTTCTTCAGTCGAAAAGAAATTAAGGTTTTTGATGAAAACATTCCAGGATTTTTCTTCATATAATGGACTTCAATGGGAACCAAACAGTTCAGGGTCCAAATGAGAGTTTCAGTGCAGCTTCAAAGGGCTTTAAACGACGCCAGACTATGACTAAGGCTACGTTCACACTGCAGGCTGAAACGACCTAATTCCGATTTTTTTGCCCCTATGCGACCTGTATCTGATTTTTTCATGACAGTCTGAACGACACAGATCCGATCTTTTCAAATGCGACCCAGGCCACTTGGGTATGTGGTCTAAATCCGATATGTATCCGATCTTTTGAAATGGGACTTCAATCTGAACTGCCAGGTCACATATATCCGACCCGCACGTCATTGCAAGCACCTGTAGCCAGCCAATACACGCTAACTCCAACGCGTTTCCTCACTGTTATGGGCCACTGCAGACGTGTCTCTTCCCCAGTGTTGTGCCTGAATGACGTTCAATGAACGATAGTGCATGAACGCGTTCATATTTTCGCGTATCATATTATTCACGTTCGCCCGAAATAAACATACTGTATTACTGCCTGATGAGCATTACTGTGAACACGTTCATTCTGGTGTATGTGAACGTGCGCTCTCTGTCAGTATAACTTTGTACAGTAGGGTGCCAGATATAGAGCCTTCCAAGCGAAAACCTGGCTAAAACACATGTGAACATGCCTTAAAATGTAGCGAATAACCACTCAATCTGGCAACACCGCGGCCGTCGGTGACAAAGCAAGGAGCGCCGCGGACACGCACTATCAATTAAACGGGTTTTATGACGAGGTCGGTGAGGATCGGAAAAATCTTACATTTATGTGCAAACTGCCCGTCGATAAAATAATTATTGTCTGTGTTTGTATATGGGCTGTGGGAATAATAATAATAAAACAAAAGCTCGCAACATATGAAAAAAAAGAACTATTCTGCAAACAACAAGTGACGTCTTTGACCGTTGATTACTCTTCTGCGCATGCGGGTCACTTCTGGGTCATTTCACGTTCACACAGGAGATCACAAAAGGTCGCATTTAATTGGAAATGTAAACGGCCTTGCAAAAAAATCGAATTTTTTCAAAAAATCGGAATTGAGCATTAAGCCCTGCAGTGTGAACGTAGCCTAAGGGACTTATCAAGCGAAACAATCGGTCGTTTCAAAAATAAGTAAAAAGGTTTAAGTTTTATAAGCACAAATGCTCGCCTTGCTCTGTTCTGTGATGAGCGTTCGTGACTCTCCTGTTCGAACTCGTTTATCAAAATGAACAAATCTTTTTTCGAGTCATGACTCGAAGGGTCCTTGATAAGACCCTTATTCATCGTCTGGTGTCGTTTAAAGCCCTTTGAAGCTGCACTGAAACTCTCATTTGAAACTTGAACCATTTGGTTCCCAAGTCCATTATATGGAGAAAATCCTGGAATGTTTTCATCAAAAACCTTAATTTCTTTTCGACTGAAGAAAGAGAGACATGGACATCTTGGATGACATGGTGGGGAGTAAATTATCAGCAAAAGTTTTTTGTTTTTTTTAAAGTGAACTACTCCTTTAAGCAATACAACTGTTAATGAGCAAAAGAAAACAAAAGCATAATGTTTCAAAAACATTTTAAAAATCTTATCAAGTCAAACTTTGAACGGTAGTGCATTAAACTGGTCATCAGCCATAGTGCTTTCCAAATATTTGCATCTACAGTACGTAATGTATATTGACTGCAGTAAAACTCTTATCGGTCTACCACTAATTCAAATGCAAAAACATCTTTCACCTCCATGTTATCAATTTGTTCAAAAAAAAAAAAAAAAAAAAAACGATTGCCATTACATTTTCCTCTTGTACAATATTTCACGAGTCTGACTGACTGTACCTGGAAGGCAAGATCATGATACTTCTGCTTCTCTTTGGGTCCCAACGCATACCACCACTCGCCCAGTATTTTACTGACAGTGCGGTTGTCCTGGTTGGGGTGCCGCTGATGAACCAGTGCACGGTGCCTCTTACTGAAGATCATAAAAGCGTTCATTGGCCGTCTGATATGGTCCTTTTCCCTCTTTGTGCAGGTTTGACAGAAAGAGAGGAGAAATTAGAAGCACAGAAGATGATAAGGGAAATTAATGGTTACAAGTAAAATGCTTAACAATTGTATCCTTAAACCCCTTGACAAGTGTCCAGGGTTATTTTTCTGTCCTCACTAAAAGCAACTTACAACATTTCCGTATTTTATGTCACTATTGTTGCCAACTAGGACAAAACCTCAGAATGAAGACACCAACAGGAATAGAAGACAAAAACTTACCTTCTTGTCAACATCTTTTGGGAGTGCACTGAGAGATTGTGTACGCCTTTTCACTGGGCTGATGGATGGAGCAGGGTCTTGAGCTACTGGAAAAAAACTGAAAAAGATTTTTAAAATAAGATTATAAAGAATAAGATTAAAAAAAATTAAGTGTGCAAAGAGAATTAGATGTAATTTTGTCTCAAAATGCCGTATAAAAACTTGAATGAAAGCCATTCTATGTACATTGTATATATATATATATATGGCCGTAGCCAAAAGTGTTGGTAGTGACATACATTTTGTGCTTTGTTGTGGTGTTGATTCACATTGTTTCTAGACTGTTGTGCAGATTGATCAAATACACTTTAAATCATTGCCAACAGCTTTATTGGCCAAGCAAAATGAACTTTAGTACAAAAACGCAAATATGACCGTTTTCAGTGAAAACACTAATCACATCATCAGCACATGGGAAGTGTGATCAAGTACTAGTCAGGTCAATTCACTATCATATTGATACAATTGTTGCCTCCAAAGAAAGATGTGCAGTGATCAACACTGCATCAAAATGGCCTCACATGTAAGGAAATCGCTGCAAAGAATATTGCACATAAAGCATAATTTACTGGATCAAGAACTTCAACCGCAGAAGACTTCAGGACATCCCACAGTGTCAGGACCGTCTACTTCTGATGATTCATCTCCGGAATCATGTCACTACCAGTGCAGAGCTTACTCAATATTGGCAGCAGGTGGGTGTGAAGAAAAGGAAAAGCAGCAAGTACAAGGATAGAACATGGATGAAGCTTGCTTACGACTGTTTGGGAAATCTGGAAAAATCAAGTGTTCGGGGAAGAAAAGGTGAACGCTAACATGAGTGAAGCATCCTGAGAACATTCATTTGTGGGGTTGCTTTTCATCTAAAGGAGTAAACTCTCTTAGACTTCTGCTCAAAACACTGCCACGAATAAAGAATGGTATCAAAACGCCCTGAAAGAGGAACTTCTCCCAATTTGGTGACAATCTGTGCATTTTCCAACATGATGGAGCACCACGTCACAAAAGATCATTACATTGAAATTTTGTAACGCCATCAGTCAGGATTTGGGCCAGAAGCTGATATCCAGCATGCCAGAGAGAATTGCATAGGTTATGAAGAAGGGTCAACACTATAAATACTGATTCTTTGCATATATTGAAAGTTTTGTTTTTTCAGTAAAAAAAACCTTTGCTGATAATTTACTCATCCCCGTGTCATCCAAGATATCAATGTCATTCTTTCTTCAGTTGGTTTTTTAAGAAAACATTCCAGGATTTTTCTCCATATAATGGACTTCATTGGGAACCAAACGGTTCAAGGTCCAAAAGACAGTTTCAGTGCGAACTGCAAACTGTTCAAAGGGCTTTAAACGATTCAAGACGATGAATAAGGGTCTTATCAAGCAAAACAATCGCTCATTTAAAAAAAAAAAAAAAAAGTTTAAGTTTTATAAGCTCAAATGGTCGCCTTGCTCTGTTCTGGGATGCGTGTTCATGACTCTCCTGTTCGAACTCGTTCATCAAAATGAACGAATCTTTTCCCAAGTCAACTCCTTCATTTCGTTCGTCGAATGAACCAAATGACACGAAAAAAGATTTGTTCATTTTGATAAACGAGTTCGTTTGGATCTTGAACCGTTTGGTTCCCATTGAAGTCCATTATATGGAGAAAAATCCTGGAATGTTTGCATCAAAAACCCTAATTTTTTTTTTTCTACAGAAGAAAGAATGACGTGGATATCTTGGATGACATGGGGGTGAGTAAATTATCAGCAAAAGTTTTTTTTTTAATACTAATGAAGTGCTTATCATCATTTGCCAGTATCCCATAGAAACGTGAAAAAAATGATCTACAAATACTGAACACAAAATTTATATCACTGCCAATACTTTTGGCTGCGGCTGATAGGTGTGGGCGATATAGGCAGATTACATTTAAAAAAATAAAATAATAATTGGTTATAATTATTATATCATAACATACATACTTTATGGGGGAAGATTTTATTTGAAAAAAATAAAATTGTTTCGCCCACGTCTATTAATGCATTATAAATGTAGATTCAAACGGATATTTACAGGTCGTCAGCATCACTCTCGGTCTCACTGTCGCCTCCTCTCTCCACGGGTGGGTCTTCAGCAGACGGAGGGGGGCAAGATGGGGAACCTCTCTCTGGTGCTGCTGGATGGTCAACAAGTCCTTCAGAAACAAGGGCGACTCCACAACGAGGTTCTGCAAGTTTATTCAGTTTCAAACTAAAAACAATGTATATTCTGAATGCAATTCTGTAAATATTCTATGCAGTCGTACAAGAACATGTTGCAATGTCAAATTATATCAAATGTTACCTTTGCTCTGATTTACAAGTGTTTGGCCATCTGCAGGCTGCGTGGACATTTTTGTTTGGCTGGTCTCCAGAAAAGGAACCAATGAATGCCACGCAAACACTGGAACAGAGCGGGGCTCCACGTTGGTCCAAACTAAATGCAGAAACAGAGAAACCTTTTATATATATACACACACACACACACATGATTGTTGTGGAAAACCTACATTTCTGTTCTCGTAAGAGGGAACTGTTGAAACAGCACCTCTCTGTGTCAGAATGAACTTGAATGAAAGCCATTCATACACATATGTCTGTGTATCAATGAATGGTGACACTAAGAATGTGTGTAACATGTCCTAGGCATCTGTCATTCAGTGAAATGTATATCTCAAATGAAGTACTCGTGAGTATCAGGGAGGTCCAATCACCCTTTAGCCGTGCATGTCTGGGCAAGTTCCTCTGCAGCATTTCAGACATGCTGCAACTGTCTAACGAAACACTGACCCTGAAAGTACAGACCATTCTTCACTACACACACCCAAACACACCTGCTGCTGACCAGCATACCAAAGTTGATCTGAGCACCCCTTATTTTTACAGTTTGCCAGTCTAATAGGAAAAAGAAAGAGTTTGTTGGTGTCCTCCATCTTACAAAACAGCACATTCTAGCCTGCACAAATTAATCCAACCTTTATTTAATTTTTCTCCTCCGTACTAATGAAATATAAACAAACCAAGCAGAAAATTAATATAGATAAGATCAGTGTGGAAAGAACATTGAAACTGACTTTGTTATCTTGGGAGATCTGAGCAAAGTGTGTTGACATTTTGAGATCTTCTCAGAAAAACTAGAGACACGCATCTTTTTCAGGAGAAAACAATTAGGCAGAGAAAGAACTTTGACCATGATATTTGTTTTCAGGATTTAGAAAGTTCAACAGAACAGCATTTATTTGAAAAAGAAATGTGTTTGTAACATTATACATATTTTTGTCACTTTTGATCAATTTAATGCATTGCTGAATACAAGTATTAAAGGGGTCATGAATTGAGAAATAAAAATGTCCTTGATCTTTTAACATATAAGAAGGCATAGTGCTATAAAAGTAGCCTGCAAGTTTCAAAAACAAATTTTATTAAAACCGAGGTCAGAAAACAACTCGTTTCGGATTTTTGTCTCACATCATAATGTGAGAAAAATATTTACTCTGCAGAAGATTAATACCTACTTTTATATAGTTGCTTCTTTAGCCACGCCCACTGATTAGCACGTCATGTAGTCATAAATAAATACGAGAGAGATGCAAACGGGATTACTCCAGCAATAAAATTACAAGACGCTTTGCAGTGCCGAGTTGTGGAAAAACACAGTCTTTGCATTGCCTTCCTTGTGACCCTGACATTAAGAAAGCGTGGGTGCACTTTTTAGCGAAGTTCCAGTCAGATCGCATCAGTAAGACACTGTTCATTTGTTCACGCTTAGAAGCATGGAGCAGAGACTGGACAACGAGTCGTGTTGAGAAAGTTTAGTGATTTGGAAGAGAAAACTTTAGAATAATGTCAGAGTTCATTCAAGAAGTTCTGTGAGCAACACACTGCATACGATCCGTGTACGTTCGAGCACATGCGCACTTTGGTCAGAGTGGTAATTATGCGATTGAGGTGTTTACATGCCATCAGTAAGACATAACAACACGTATCATTTGGAACACGACACTGCAAGTGACAATGTGTACGTTTTTCACTTTATCGTAAAGGATTAACTATGAATAGCCTATAGGAACGACATTCATAATTCCGTTTACACGAAACAAAGTCATCCTTTGTCAGTTATAACGGGTAACTCCAAGTACTTACTTATTTTAAAATGCAAAACTGTTGCCCAATCATAGCAGTGGGCGTTTACTTCCGAGTCTTGAGTGTGGCACACCCATCAAAATGGAGTGATCGAAAGAGAGGGTCAAAAACAGGATAGAAAATAGCTTATTACTTCTAAATTATTATTATTTTCGATGTAAAAATCTTGATGACATTATAAGTGAACCTCAGAGAAAAAAAAAATGCAGTTCATGACCCCTTTAATTTATCAACCAAAAATATATATGTATATTACACCTTATTTTACCTTAAAGTTGAACAGTCCCGTTTGACCAAAACTCTGTGGATGACTATGGTGATCAATAATAAATAGTAATTATCAATAATAATTGGTGTTCTAATTGTTTTTAATGCATCTTTCATGACACTTACCAGTGCCAGGTCGTCCCATGATGATGTCTTTGCGAGGAGCAGGGTGAGGGGACTCGGCTGGCAAGATGAGGGGCAACAGGGCTGTGGGTGAAGGATGACAAGCCACAGGCTGTGGAAGAGCACCACCTGCATCTGCATGGCCACCTGATTTCCTCTCTTGCTCTTTACTTCCTGAGCCAGATATTGCCAGGACAGGTCCAGTGTTTGCATTAGAGGTGGACACATTTAAAGTGGAAGAGTTTGAATGTGTGGGATGTCCAGGAGCCACAGGCGTCAATGACTGAGAGGAGGTCACCAGGACTAAGGTGGGAGCGGGATTGCGGAGGAGAACAGCTCCGTTGGTGGCAGCTCCGTTAATGGGAACAGGGGCCTGGAGACCCACAGCATGGTGAGGAGGCTGGCTGTGCTCCCTAGAGCGTGAGCTTCCTCTACGGCTCAGGGGACTATCACTGAATTTTGCCAACGGCACATCTGGGTTGCGAACAATGACAGGCGAATCGCGTAGGGGAACGATGCGACGTGGATCTTGAGGCAGGGGTGATGGTGGTGTGGGAGAAACCAGCATTGGGGGTGGAGTGGAGGCAGCAGATGATGAGGGTCGACTTGTGATGTTCCTCTGTCGAGGGAATGGGGTGGTAGGCTGGCTTTGTGGGGAAAGAACCCTGAATGCTGCGTGGAGGCTGATGCTGGGGTCATTGTGTTGGGGATCAGATTTCGCATAGTCTGATGCACTGGGCAGGGGGGGGTGTGGGGCATCCAACTTGCGTTTACTAGGGCTCATAGGCACAGTAAACGTGAGGTTGGTCTGAAAAGTGGGCACAATGCCAGAGATGTGGCGCTCACGTTCTGTGCCAGGGGTGCCCGGCATCTTTGTGCCACTGAGGTGACGATGGCGGCGAGGGGTCAGAGTTGAAGGTGCTGTGATGGGGCTAAAATTAGCGGGGCGGAAGCCAAATAGTGTGGGTGAGGGGGAAGGTGCAGGGGAGAATGGTGACTGATTGGATACAGGTGAGAATGAGGGCGTGCATGAGCGAGAGCTGCCAAGTGAAACCAACATATTTGCAGCCTCGCACTCATCGAAGTCAAAGCGGGATAGTTCACGTGGCAGTTCTTGCGGTATGAGAGAAGTCATCACCAGACGTGGACGAGAGTCCCCGCCACGACTGCTTGCTTCACTGCTGTCTCGTGAGTTGTCGTCCCAGTCATACTCGCTGCTGGTGCGTCCACCTAATCGAAGGTCAGGTGTGAGAGTGCCCGTGCTACTGGCGCCACTTCTTTCTCGGCCCACCCCTCCTCCGGCTTCCATCTCCTTGGTGCGCATGGAGAGATGCCGTGAGCAGTAGCCGCGCCGCTGTGACTCCTTTGAGCAGCCTTCACGTGAACACAGTCTGCGCCACTGCTTCCCGTTGAACTTCTTGCGGATGCCAGTAGGGGTGCATACCACGTCGCCCTTCTTGTACTTCTGTTGAGCGGCGGTGAGGGGTGTGCGGGAACGTGTCGAGGAGCACGAGGATCCAGAGCCTCCCCCTGATGCACCATGCGAGTTGGAGCTTGGGGTCTTGTTCAGGGAGCCTCGAGAAGAGCTTGGAGGCAACGGAGGCAGCTGGGGTGTGGAGGAGATGACTGCAGCTCCTGGTGCTGAATCTAGGCCCAGGAGCATTGGGGGGTGATTTGGGTGAGGAGCAAGGGGCAGATGGGGTGCAATTGGGGTGCTAAGCCCTCTACCGGGGCTGAGGTAGTTTGGTTTAGAAAGAATGTGCCGATGCTGAGAAGAAACACCAAGAGATTTGCTGATTCGGTAGACCTCCATGTCCTCCTCTGGGGTGGATGGATGAGGAGGATGATGCTTGTGCCTCTCCCTTTCTCGATCTTGTTCCCTTTCTCTCTCTAAGTGCATATGCAGGTCTCTCTCCTGATCCTTTTCTCTGTGATGATGATCATAGTCTCTGTTTGGGGCTACACTGAATACAGACGTGATGGCAGTGTTAACGGCAGAAGACGAAGAATGGGATGAGGTGAAAGGTACAGGGTGCAACAAACTCTGAACTTTAAGCGCCGTCAGTCGAAACACCTCCATGTCCTCTCTTTCCTCCCATTCTCGTTCTCTTACCCTCCTCCCATCAATCCCTGGCTCTGCGGGCTGGGGTGGCTCTAGGTCCCAAGGAGGAACCAGGAGGCGAAGATTTTGTCGTGACACCCAAACGGCCTGAGCACTGATGGCCCTTCCATCATCCTCTTCAGCTCTCCTCTCCTCAGATAGTTCCTCCCGTAGCTGGACACGGTATGGGAAAGAAACAGCTGGATGTTGATCTACTTGAGTGATTATACCTTCTCGGTACCACTGTTGGGCTCCCTCGCTGCCCTCATCATCACCTTTAAAGGGGACGCAAACTTGTGTGCCTATAGCCACCGGGGCAACACCAGGAGGTGGCGCATCTAGGATGAGATCAACAGAATCAGTAGCCACTCGAAAAGGGTACTTGCATATGGTCTTTTCTCCATTTAGCTGCACCTCCACACTCCCATGCGCCTCACTAACTCTCCGTACGACACCAGTGCGAAACACTCCTGACATACCCCGACCCCGATCGTGAGGCCAGCCTTCTAATCTGGGACCCTGTCGGGCCAGAACTCTCTGATTCTTAAGACCTTTAGCGAGGACTCCGGCTAACCCAGATGACAGGCTCTCCTGTAATGGTGTTGTGCTATGTGCTTGTGTCTTTTGAGAGTTGGAGTGAGAATCACATCCTGAAGCTGTTACGTCTAGTTCGGCCGAGTGTTCACTGGCTGTATCGGTTGAAGAGCAACGCTGTGGGCTCTTCCCATCCTTCTCTCCGCACTCATCTGAACTTCTTCCTGTGGGCCCCTGTATGTTGTTGTGTCCATACTCAGTGATGCTGTCCACAGCCAGCTGGCTTTGACTGTGTAGGTCTGTGTGTGCAGCAGAGGCAGCTGGGACCTGGTTAGCACCAGTACTATTGTGAGAGCTGCTGCTGCTCTGTGGGGGTGTGCTGGGAGTGTTGGCATTGCCATGGTGTCCGGCACAGTGCTCCGAAGTGTACTTCTTCTTGGGCACGCGGGCCTTAAAAGTGGCCGTCTTCCGATTAGAGGAAGGGTTGGGGCTATTGCTGGCACTGGTCGTGCTACTGTTGCTGTCACTCTGTGTTCCACCAGACTTGGAGTTCCCGGGGGTTTCATCCGTCTTCCCGAAATCCACTGCTATGTTGATGACCCCATCACTGTGGATCCCCTCCTTTTCTGGCGACCTACTTCTTCTCAGAGGCCCGTCCTGTGATGAGTCAGAATTTGAGGAGATATGTCTCTTGGGAGAGGTAGTTGAAATTTGGGGTATTTCCTCAGTTTCTCTCTTTTCTTCCTGTGGGCTACTCTCCACCATCATCCTCTTAACTCCCTTGGCACGAGTGGAGGGGGGCGACCGCCTTCCTTGCTTTTTAATGGGCTTCATTTTTTTTTGCTCAAAGAGTCTCTAATCCTCCTAATTTTCTGCAAGTCCCAGCCTATCGATATCTTCCACTCTGTTTCCTTCTTGCATCCCGCCCCTTTTCTGTCTTTTTCTTCTGTTCTTGCACAAGCCTCTTCCTGTTTTTGATATCCTTTCCTTCTTTAATTAAACCCTGTAGTAAAACACAGCACATGAGATGGATCAGTTTATTATTCAGAATTACAATCCCCATATAGAGAATAGGGAGTATAGAATACAGCATAATTAAAAAACAAGTTAGTGCAAGGAGATAATGTTTTAAGTTTAGTGCCTAATCTAATATCGTAAGATAGCCTTACAATGTGGATATAACACAGCAGCTTAATACTAAAAACTTTCACAAAGACGGAATACAAAGAAAAATGCTTGCCCAGACAAGTCACACACACTTTGGTTTTTTGGCTGGATCGAAGGAGGCGGGGGAATTCCTTGTTCAGTGGTATTTCTGTGACTCTAAGGCTCTCTCTCGCTCGCTCTTTCAAATGACCTTTTTATATTCGTTACAAAGGCAATCCACCCCTACAGTCCTCACTTCCTGTCACAGCACTACAACATCTCAATGTACAATACCATCTGTACACATTACTACTTACACATTCTTTCCTCCTACCAAAACACCTTTCCTTCATCATCCAAACTTACACAGTGTGCATTGTGTTTAAAACCCAATTGAGATATTTTATCAACATTAATGTTTGCATAAATATATTTAGACACTTGGATGGAGCTACAACCCAGTTTAAATACAGATTACAAATAATCCAGTGTAGTCAAATGAGAATTAATTGAAGCTTTGAATATCTCAAAAACTGCATGCAGGGTTTATGACTATAAAATATGACTGACTGCAGGTTTTCATTAAATTAAGGATGTGTATCTAATTTATATTAATGGTTAAAGGTCAGGACGTGAATGACCTCTTTTGATGAACCAGTGCATGCTCGAATTGACAAATATGTAACAGATCATTACAGGTCCGCAGTGCCATTCTTGTGAGAAGAACCCACAGTAACCACAGTGCCATTTGCACTGTAAGACAAGTTTGCAGGCAATATGCAAATCTGATGCAGTACATTACCTTCAGTAAGAAAATTATATCATAAAACACTTTATTAAGACCTGTTAAGACTTATATTGCCTGGGCATGTATGTCAGTATAGGTTTTATGTCACTAAACTATTCCAATGCATTTAAGATAACACAAAGTGTAAATAATGTAAGATTCTATTTAAAGGCCCACTCAGTTTTTGTCTGTCCAATCCACTGACTGGATTGGGTTTTATACTGACAGCACTCCACTCGATATTTATTTATTTACTTACTTACTTATTTATTTTTACTCAACTCATTCAAGGTCTTCTAGGGTCCTGAGATCTGTAGCTGACTAATCGTCCCAAATCCAACAAGCATTCAGTTTTAAAAAAAAAATAAAAATCGACCTGAGACAGACCCAAGAAAACTAGACTCAAGACTCAAGCCATGTTGCCAGACAATGTAACCTATCATTTGTCAAAATGTGGGAGAATATTTTCTGTGGATTTTCACAAATTGTTTTATCTGAGGAAAAACATCAAAATACAGTTATGGTTTAATTTTCGTTAGTTTGATTTAGTTTAGACTTAGTTTGACATCAACTGCATTTAGATTGTTTTCTGTAATCGTTATCTGGCAACAGTACATCAATTTTATGCTTGGGAAAGCAATTCAAAGTAGAAAAGCCGCTCACCAGCTTTATGTTGCACCTCAAATAACAAGGACGTTTATATTATTGTTAATATTCAAAAGTATGGCTGCAGGGATATCATTTTATCATCGATATCACGATGTTTGCGATCCGTTGTGAAGTATATGGATCGTAGTTGATCTGTGATCCATACGGGCTAGCTGCCGCCCGGTTTGTAAGACATGTGATTCGCGGATTAATTCTATTTAATTTATACAGTGAAGAAGACTATGCACTATGCTATTTTACATTTGATTATTCATTTACTGTATCTTAGGCCTACCTGAAAAAAAGCACTTCTTATTGTATCTTTGCCCTATTGCATATCTATCCTTGAAATTTGTACATTATTTTTCTACGCAGATGTACTACACTACAAAACCACCCCAATCAACCTAGAATTGTTAAATCTTAAAAATAGAGCTATTCAAATCTTCTGGTGAAATTGGTTTCATATCGCAATATAGCCTATATTGCTTAATATCACAATGTCAGTTTTTTTCTAATATCGTGCAGCCCTATTAATAAGCAAATCCCTGCACTCATTCTCTCTATTTGGAATTGAAAATGTAATACTGATCACTTCTTGGTTAACTGCAAGTTGGTCAAACTAGTTCTTAAGACACAGTCTTAACATAGTTGGTAAGTTTATGCAGCTGGCCACAGGTCTTGGGTTGGACTTGGACTTGCACTTTTAAACCTGTCTTCAAAAGTTTGCAATTTAAGGCCCCCAAAATGGCGATTTTGTGTAAATGAACAGCCAAAACGCACAAAAAAATTGGGCTAGTTTGGGGTCAGTTTTGCAGTTTTCAAACATTTACATTTTATAGGCTAAACAAAACCCAAATGTGCCTGTACTCCATCTAATCACTGTGATCAGTCATCATGACGTTACTAAACACACACGCTCACTGTAGAGTCGGCCTGGTGTTGGTATTGACATCGCCAACAAGCCTGCACTTTTAGCCAATCAAGAGCAATAGCGTGATGATTCCCGAGTGACAAGGTTTTAGTGCGATAAGGAATCCAATTTTGAGGTTGTAGGTGTATATTCAAGTGACCTCTATGCCAAAGTGGCAAAAATATAAGTTGTAGCTACAGTAATGCGTGGGAGAGTGACCCAACTCTCAAAACGTGGAATACATTTGTGGTATATGACTCAAAGGCTCTTTGTAAATATAACTGTACCCCTGAGAGCACAGTTGAATGACTTAATTGAAATTGAATATGGCACTACTCTTGTCCATCATCATGTGCACACTGGCCTGACTAGGACATCTGTGACTTTTACACGGTTCAGACTGCACTCTGGTAAACTCGTCCCCAACGGCTGCTGTAAGAGGTTTGAATCAACAATGAATCAGTTTATAAGACTGCAAAGACTATTCTATGTTGTATTCTACAATGTGTACTTCAAGAAATATGTAGTGTAGTTCATTTTGAAGTTAAAGCGTATTATTATTATTGTCGTTCACACAAATGACAAATTTTCAGCTTTTATGGTGTGCGATGGTTTATGTCTTAACATTTTTTAACTGAATTTGCCATGTTTTGATCTGTTTTCCTGCTGTATTGTTCTCCTGGCAGGGAAATTCATTAATTTGTATGATTTTTTTTATCATCATTATTTTTTTATTTTTTTATTTAGGAGGTAAATGGTCTTTATAACCCTTGGTTGTGATGACAAGAGAATTCCATCACATTCATTTTGCAGTGAATGTTTCGGATGGGTTTTGGAGAGTTTTAGGGCTGGAAATCATTGACACAGTCTGCGATCCACGTCATGTAGGGGATCTCATGTATAACTTTAATGATCTTGTAAATCAAACTCTATATCATGGTACTAGCAACACAATGGTATTTGATTTAAAGGGATAGTAACTTTACTCACCCTCAAGTTGTTGCGAGTTTCTTTCCTCAAAATAATGTATTTTAAGAACGTTGACGGTAGCCACTGACTTCCATGGTAAGGGAAAAAAATTCTATGGAACTGTCCAGTTACATTCTTTAACATATCTTATTTTGTGTTCAACAGAAGAAAGAAACTCATACAGGTTTGGAACAACTTGACTAGGCTATTTTATGAAAAATATTTCATTTTGAGGAGAATTATCCCTTTTTACACTGGTCAAATGTATACCCTGAAGTCATTTTATGAAACATTTGAAATACATAAAATCAATTAAATGTAAATAAATATTTCTGTGTAGAACTTTTAGAATCGGCAAAAAAAATGAAGTTCATTTGCAATGCACTAAACTTGCTCACTGCACTCACTGACCCTTCAAATAATTTTAACAACTCAATCTTATAATGACAAGCCAACAGCACAATAATAAATGTTCCCATGCAACAGCAATGAGTCCAAGTAAACACAAATGCCGTGAAACAAAGTAAAAGCCCTGTTTCCCATCAACAGTGGTGCTGCTGTCGTCGACTTGCGAAAGTTTTGCTGAGTAGTACACCGCCATATCTGTGTCAAGCGCGTTTATTGGTTGTAGTGCCCTACTCTACGCTTACAACCACCTACGACACTGTCGAGTGGTGTAGGCCTTCTCCATAACACAAGGCCGCAGAGCAGTTTCCCGTCTCCCTCAGGCTTGTGAATCGAGGGCGACGGTGGCCATAATAATAAATATGAGAAGAAGAACAAACAATCTTTCTCATATATGTGTGCCTATAGGCTATAAATATGAAACATCCGAAATAAATGGACTGAATGCAACTGAAAATGTTAATGTAATATAGTCAAGTTTAAACAACAAAACAATCGCCTTATATTTATGTAAAGAACAATGGATAAGAAGTGACAGTCCCTGAAAGGTAAACGAATGGACAAAAGCAGTTTGCTGAAGCTGTAATGTAGTGTCACAACAGATATTTTCAGGAAAAAAAGTTTTTAGGCTGACTGTGCACCTCCACCCCTCCCTTTCAATGTGTGTGTGTGTGTGTGTATGTTAAAATGCTTACTCCGCCATTTTATACAATCCACTAAGAAAAAAAATAAACTGACAGCGAAATATTGTAGATAGATCCGCGACGTAAAGGCACAGCATTAAATATATAGGCAGATCACTGCAGTACTGCAGATGAAAGGTTTCAACTCACCCCGTGAATATTTACAGTGCCGTCGAAATGGTGTCGATGCGAGAACCAAGCCTATAAAACCATGGAATCCCCGAGAAAGGGTTTGCAAAGAATGTTTTTCTTCCGCAAATGAGAAAAAGTCCAGCCGTTGAGGTTCCAGGGTACTCTACAGTCGCAAAATGGTGAATGAAGCACTAAGCCTTGACAACCAGCGCCATCAGCCAATCGGCGTTCACAAAAGGGTACAGTAGCCTGTCGGTATTAGGGTAGCCTTGATAAGGGCGGAGTCATCTGTCAAAGTCCCGTTGATCGACAGGTCGTTGGGACCAATCGCGTTATGGGAAAACAAGAAACAGCTGGACGATCCTGAAATTGTTTCAACCAATGAGAATTAAAGGGCGGGGCAACTGAAGCTAGTGGATGGGCGAATCCATGGGCGAACCTAGAATATTAACAATTTGCAATTTTAAAACACTTCAAAATAATAATCAATTTGACCAAAACATCATAGCTAATCATACTAAATAATTTAATTTCAAGTAAAAAAAAATCCCTTTCATGGACATTGACCTGGACGCTTGTGGAATGACCTGACTATCTCAACCCGAGCAGCCTTTTCAAGAAACGGCTAAGAAAAACGCAACTTTTTCGTCGACACTTGACAACCAACCCATACTATTCTAAGTCTATCCTATTCCTATCTATCTATCTATCTATCTATCTATCTATCTATCTATCTATCTATCTATCTATCTATCTATCTATCTATCTATCTATCTATCTATCTATCTATCTATCTATCTATCTATCTATCTATCTATCTATCTATCTGTCTGTCTGTCTGTCTGTCTGTCTGTCTGTCTATCTATTATTGTTATTATTTATTATATTATTTATTTTAAACATGCTACGTGTACTGTGCTAGAGTAGAATATTGTCAGTATTTTTTATTTTAATTTATTTTAATTTTATTTATTTATTTTTGTTTACCAGCCACTGTGGCTATTGTTTTTCAAGTCACTATAGTCACTCAGCATTTTCATTGGCCACAATATATATATTGTGAGGATTAATCATAATGCATAGCACAGGTGTTATTTTGTTATTTTATTTTTTAATCTTCTATATTGAAAGTACAAACTTAGACTTGAAAATGAGTTGTTTTGCTTCCTGTTTGTTATGTATGCTTTTATTTTCATAATGTCATCCTCGTTGGAAAATCCCACTTAAACTGGTAGCTTTTTTTTTTTTTTTTTTTTTTAGAGTGGGATTTTCCAACAGGGACATCATTATGTAAAGAAAAAAATGCTAGTTCGAGTATGTTTCAGCTATTTTAGCGTTGCTATATAAAAAAGTAGTCTCTATGTATATATATATAGAGACTGTCCATATAGGCTACTTTTTTTAAATAAACAGACAACAACTTCCGTTTCATTTTACACTTTCTATAGCTAATCCAGCCAATCGTAGAGCTCATCAGCCAGTGTCTTGAGCCCGCCTTCCACAGCCAGCGTCATCAAATCAACCTGTGATTGGTCAAGCTGTGGGGGTCTTCAGACCAATGACCAAGCCATGTGATGAGCTCATTATGCCTGTTGCCATCACTGCAACTAAACAGGAAGGGTTGTGAGTACATTAGTTTAAATGAGGGTTTAATATGCAATGCCACAGTGTAGCAGATATACATTTCTGCATGGCAAATTTGTTTAATGTGATTGATTTTATCATTGTGGGTGGCCTCCTCTGAGCCATGTTTAAATAAATGTGTGGTTTCAACACATGCAAATGGCTGTGTGTGGAACTGCATACTATGGAGATGATCAGTTCATGCATCACAGCTCAGCTGGACTGTCACGCACTCTGCATGCAATTATGACATGCAATGGAAAATTGCATAACTCGTACACACACACACACGCACACACTCATCCAGGGTAATCTCCAAAACATGCCACACCCTGCTCTGTTGTTCTGTTAAAGCTCCAGAGAAGTCCTGGCAGGGGTTGATGTTCATTAGATATGTGAACAGTGTGTCTTGTGTAATCTTAACATTTAAGGATGAACTAGAGTTAATGCTCAAAGGCCAGTTTCATCCTGATCTATAAAACAAAGCGAAAACGAAAGGGAGGCCAAAATGTAGCATATTCAGTCATAATGAGACTTTCAGGTTGACTAGATAAACACTTTGATGGGGATATTATGAAGTACAAAGGGTATAGGAAGAGGGCTCTGCTTTAGAAGGGGCCTATTTTAGTTTTTGACTCAAACAACGAGGAAACAAACATGTTCTCTGGTCTGACTTCTGACTAATAAACAAACCTTTAAAGACAAGAAGCACAACAGAGAAATATAGTAAACTTCCTTGAGCACCAAAGAGAGATACATCACATGTTGTGTGTTATTTATAAGAGGATGGATTTTGTGCTTGAGATTATTTTTCTCAAATGTATACAACTGCATTATCTCCTTTGTATTCTCTATTTCTTTCATTTAGACACATTTAAAGAGAAAGTCAAAAGCCAGTCAAGTGTCAATCAATCAAAAGTCAAATACCACAGATTCACACTGCCTCTTCAAAACACACAATCAAAGACAAATTAGGCCTCCTTGTTACAACCAGCAACCGGTTCATAGTGCCTTACTTTCCAGCAAACCCTACCCTTTGACCTACCCTTAACAGGTCAACGAGCCCTCACAGCAAGCGTCCAGGCTTCCCTGTCAATCAAGCAAAGCGTGACCCCAACTCCTCCACCCCCATCCAATTATGAGCTTTTGTGAAATATTTGATTATTTTTTAGGGTGAAGAAAGAAATTCAAAGCTGCAAAAAAGTTACTCAAAAACTTGACAGAATAAATAATCCCCAGAGATTTGTGCATATTGATGGGTCCTGCATTGAATACATATTTGGGTGATTTAGTGATTGCAGGATACATAATCAAATGGGGCTGTTACGCTAAAATCATAACAAAAATTATATACCTTTGGCTTTTAAAACACTAAAGGACCTATAAATTAAGATGTTTAATAATACCTGAACAGTAACGCTTTCAATATGTTAATTTCTTGCATGTCTCTAAAAATATTATTAGTTTGTTAGCATTAATTATAACGTCAAGAGCCTTTTGTGACAACACATTTAATCAGAAATCGAACTGCAAACTTTACATAGCCTAATATAAAGTTTAAATTTGGAAACTGTTAGATTAAAAACCGTATAGCGTAAATCTATGGCAAATTAGCCTTCCGGGTTGGCCTACACATCGACATCATCATGACCAAACAGCTCTGAAAGGTAACAAAGACAAGGAGCTTCATTTTTACTTTTCATTTATGTACATTAGCTTTAAAATGACCGGTTTCTACACCACTATCAACAACGAACGGAATTGCAAAAATTGGCTTACGTACATGAAAGTACAATACAATTTATACATACCTCAAAAAAGACACTTCGCCTTTAAGAGCCTCGAGTGTGAACAAGAGTGAACGATGTTGATGTTTTAGCAGCAGAGGGCGCTGTTTCACAAATAAATACAAGTTGATACATTCGCAAGTTCTCAGAAGTTCTCTTCCTCCGTCAGGCTGATGTATTTAAATGGGTTTACGTTTAATTCCAGGGTTCTCTCTCTAAAACGAATGATTCTTGTTTCATGTTAAACCCATGCTCTTTGGTTCATGCAGAAACGTTAAGTGTTAACGGTCTCCGTGTGGCGTGGATTTCTAGTTCATTACGAATGCAAATCCTAGTTTATTTTGCATCTTGCTTCAGTTCAAACAGGATCTAGAATAGCAGCCCTTGTATTTCAAACAGAACAGAAGCAAAATAACTAAAGTTCATGAAAAAACTACATACTCTTTATGCGTGCTTGTACAGGCCTAGCTTTTGTCCTAACCGGTCCCCAAAAAACACCATGGGATTACTAGGGTATTATTACTGTAGTGATATGCCAAATTAAATTAAGTTTTATAATGGCTTTTTAGGATTAGTGAATCGACCCTTCTTATTAATGGTACTCTTTGAATTCGTTTTTAAATAAAAAAAGTTACATTTGTTCATTTTAGTTTGTTATATTAAACATGTTTGCTGTTTAATGGGCAGCATGGTGACATTTTTTGGAAATATTAGTTGAAACTTAAAGTGTTTACTAATCACAGATACTATCACAATCAAGATAAAATAAGGAAACATGGAGTAAATGATGAGAAAGCCAGATCCGTTTTTACCTGTTTTAATGAACCCTGATTACAGTTTTAATTACAAGAGCAAATGAAACCACATGAGAAACTAAAGTATACACGGTTCCTCGTAACGTCAAGTTTCGTCTCTCTTTACAAAGTATTACATAACCATTGAGAGACAGATGGAAAGCTTTAAGAAAGAAGCAAAAGACCTTGAGCACAAAGAAATATTTGTCCTTTTTTCTTACATCATCCCCTCAAAATGGAAAATATATATTTATATATGTACACAACCAAAAAAGAGAGACATTAAAATAAAAATAATGTGATAGCATTATGTCACTCTTCCCTCTTCGACTGGTTTTCTTAATTGCAACTAAAAACCAGCATTAATACAAAGCCAGAGCAATATAATATCATGGTATCAAAGAGGGTAGAGGAGTACGATTTATTAAAATGTTCATCTTGAGAGGTTAAAATTCAGGTAAGGGGTACAAACGAAATACCAGCAATAATATCAACATTAAAAATGATAAATGGTAATATAAACAAAAAAAGGTATAATAAAACAGCATGGTTTATATTGAAGAGAGAGCGAAAAGAAAAAGTATTTTCTAACAAATAGGGAAGCAGTCAGTTGAAATACAGATACTGAACCTGTGTAAGGCCGCCAAACAAACTCAAAAAAAGTAGTAAAAAAAAAACAAAAGAAGCAAAAAAATGAGTGTTAAATGTGTCAGGTCCTATACTTCCCCCTTAGACGAGGGCTAAGAGGCTGCATGTCCACTTTCTAGCTGTCAGTTTGCAGAATTGAGGTCTCTTTCTCAAGGATATGGTCATGATGTAATTTACTACAAAGTCCCTGCATATTGCTACAAATGGAGCTGGCCGTCGCCAAACGCTAAGCCAAATAGGATGCGATACCTGTTCAATCTTGATCATCGTGGAGAAAACAGCCTCCTACAACTAAAACACTGCAGAGAGACTGAGAGGGAGAACGCGAAAGCGACGGGTCGAGTTAAAACTATACGTGTTCCTTATAAGGCCGAGGACCGCTGT